AAAAAACGGTACGCAATTGAGTATAGTAAGTTTAACAAGGTCTGACAAATTTTAATGACATACTTTTATTAGTTTTTCTAAATTGTTACAATCATAAGAAGAAAATGTAATAAAAAGTGTCAGACATTATCCAAAACCGAGTTCAAAACATTCCTTATTTTAATAAATCTTTTTTAATTGTAATTTTCAATAATAATTATTATAGAAGTAATATCGGAAAGCAGTCTTAAATATTTGGTTGTATACCTTTTTTAATTTAGAGAAAAAAAAATGATACAAATTTAATTAGCCTACATTCTAAAAAATATTTACATACCTACTTGATTTTATTTAAACCGAAAGAGAGTATTAAAAAATTGTGGTCGTACTATAGGAACTCCTTTAAACGCTTCATTATGTGCTCTAATATTAGAGAATTTTTTTTATTTTGAAGTTTGAGGAAGAAAAAATGTATTTTATATTAACAAAAATTTAATAAAGCAAAATGTTCCAAGTAACTATTGAGTAATTTATTACACCTGCCTAATGTATCTACAATTCATTTCAAAGTGCACAAGTAAACTAGTATAGTAATCAATAATCATGTTCAATCTACACCTAAAAGAGAACGGATGTTTTTGCAACAAAATGAACGTTCTCCAATACATTACACATATACATATTCCCAAATTATTTCAGTACATACCGTAAGTAACGTAACCATTTTATTACCTCAAAAACACTAAAATCCAGTGTTCTAAACTAGTAGACATTACTCTAAGTAACCAATTGCAAATATATTTTCCCTTACTAATGATTTATTTTTGTCAAGAAATAACAAAGACATTCCTTAGGTCATGTCACTTGTATCAACATCCGCCCAGAAAGAACAGTCTCTTAACAATTTCTCATCTGTACCTACGTGACACACATACAAATCTCTTCATTTAAAAAATTTCGGCTCGTCATACGCTTAAAATAACAAAATGCACTCAATTGCAGAAAGAGCATTTTTTCATAATTACATGAATTTTAATACAGCCATAAAAAATTAACAAACTTTTACGGAATTTTGCGGTTTATTAATAAAAAGTATCTCAGGAAAGGAGGTGAGTTCAGGTTTGTCATTAATTTTGAATTAATTGCTCCTCGGGTTTTACGAGGTAGCATCATGTCGGTCACAGATTTATAATCAAGGAAGTCCACTGGATTCGTGCATCTTAATTACATTAAATTTCCACACTTTGATAAAAAAACAAAAATTTTCCCAAGTCGACGAAAAAGAAATTCATTGTTCCAGCATTCTAGATAAAAGAAAGTAGATATGTGTATACAGTTTTAGATACATAAGCCAATGTCCTGTACTTAATCGTCAAGTATTTTGACGCAAATAGTGCAAATTGCGTTGCAATAAAAGCACACTTCGCGAAATTCAAGATCCAAACAACAGGTAGGTATCTAATATTGTTGTGCAGTTGAAAGAAATTTTGCAACGTTGATGTCATGTTTATTTATAATTGTAGGTATTAGCATTTCCGTTTTGTTGACTTTTAGTAATTTCGATTCAAATTTGTTTAATTAATTTGGTAATGACAATTGCAAGTTTGTCCTTATCCCACACGGAGCCTCAACAGAGCCGAAAAACAATCAATTTCAAATACTATGCAATTATGTTTTATGGAATGTTTACAAAATATCGCGATTTGAGTATTTAATTCTCATTTCCAACGTACCAAAACAGTAAATATCGAGTTTTTATAGCGGCGCGTGTACGTGCAATAATAACACAGATTATAGTGATTGGCATTAAAAAATAAATTAGATATTTCGTGGCATAATAACTAAACCAACAGAATACCAACTAAATTGTTTGCTTGTGTGGACTAGAAGTGGGATTTAAACAAATTGGCAAATACACGTGTAGACAAACAAAAATGGCTTCAGAACAAAAATCCTTAATACATTAATAATGCGGTGACCTTTCCTATCACTACGAGTATGAAGACTTGAAAATAATGTAATTTTACGTCAAAGTGACTTTTACACACTAGTGATTTTCTTGACAAACATTTCAACATTATTTACTCGCAAGCCTGCACTTTTTTGAAATATGATTGTGTTAAACATAATTATCAAAATTGATTTGAATTAGGATTATACAAGGTGACTCACAAATGATTTTACAATTACAATATAGTGAAACATTGGGCCGTATGAAAGTAAATGTTTACTTGTAATAGTAAAAGATAGACGTAATTTAGATTTTATAAGAAAGAAAGAGACAAAACTATAGCAAAAGCTTTTGCTGAATTTTATTCACACTACCCATATAAAACTATTTCACTAATATACTTAAAAAATATACAGGATGCGCCAGAACTCGCCCCCCAGAGAAAAATTCCATATAAGGTAAGAAACCAGGAACATGGAAAAAATTAAAAAAAAAAAATTATCTATAAAAATTTCAAAGTTATGAGGGTTTAAAGTTTGCACTTTGATTCTATTTATTTCTGTTGGAAAAATAATTTTCCAACTTTTTTTGCTATAGGCTATTAAAAAGGAAACAAGGAAGCTGTATCCTAAATTGTAATTCTGTTCAATGTTATTTGTGGCTTTTATTGGCAACATTTTTGTCCCTTTACTAAATAATTGTAAAAAAACATATACAAGATCATCAGTGTCCTTAAATAGATATAAAAAAATGTCAAATGCCAAAAAATAAATGTCAAAATTTTTTGACATGTAGAATTTTTTAAACATTTTTTTCATGTTCCCGGTATCTTACCTTACTTAAAAATTTTCTCTGGGGAGTGAGTTCTGGCGCACCCTGTATACTTTGTTGCTAAAATAAAAATACTAAATCACATTTTATAATTTAATTTATTTTTAGTAACAAATTTTGTGGCATTCTTGTCAGTTTTTCTACTTAAATTTTCTAACAAAATTATTGCATCAGTACGTTTTATTTGACACACCCTGCATTACAAATCTTGTAGGGGAAAGATTTTTACACCAATTTCAAAGCATACCTATAAAGTTCGTTTTTTAATTATATGCGTGTGGATCAATTAATAATTCGAAAAACGTACCAAATAACTAGGCTCTTTTCAACATTTGCAAACAGCCTTGTTGCTCTCTGCGTAAGGTCCGTCACGCTATTTATCTCACTTTAACAAATGCGATTAAAGTAACACAGAGCTAATGACGTACGTCAAAAGTGTGTCTTACCGTCACGTAAGTCATTTGTATTTCATTTTTAATGGGGAAAACTGTTTTGAGGCTAATATTTATCCCCTCTATATCATCATAATAATCGTAATTCAAGCCCTATAAAAATCCTAAGGCCAGGGAGTAGCTTTAATTTTTGACTTTAGTACCAAAATGTCAGGAGCTGTCAAATGTCAAAAATAGACGTAGGTCATGTCGTATTGTTAATTCACACTACCCCCACCAGCAATTCATTAAAATATAAACTTTAGCACTATTTAAAAAAAAAGAACCTGCACAGAAAACACTTATTTTGAATGTAAAAATTATATCGAGAGATCAAGATAATTTGTAATCGATTCATCTTTGGATCCAAAAACGTATGTTTGTTTTTGAACTAAATCCACGTCAAATAAAATGACAAGTCGAAAGGTAACTCGGCAAAATGGGCTCGAATTAGTCGCCGACGTATAATAATATGAGTAGGACCGTTTTTTTTTTGAGGTAAATCATAAATTTAGTTATTAAAATCATCATCTTTTTGATTATGACATTTTACCTTTCGACTTGTCATTTTATTTGACGTGTCACGGACATAGGTTTTCGGATCCACGAATGACTCGATTACAAGTTATCTTGATCTCTTGATATGTGCACAATGTCAACATTGCCAGTAATATTTTTAGCTAATAATTATGATACAAGTATGTATAATTTATTTTGTATGTATTTTAATTTTCGTAATTACCGTTTTTTTTATTTCGCTATCAGTCTACACGAGTACTGTACGTAGACCTTCAAATTATCAAGCTTCTCTAAACATTAAATAAGTTGCATTTGCTAATTACAACCTCAAACAGATAATAACTAACAAAAATAAGGCAATGATAACGCCTGACAAATTGCCTCCCGAGTGGTAACATTCATTCAAAATCGAGCCTAGGTTTGGCCCGGGTAGGTCAGGACCGGCCTGGGCTTCACCAAAACCTGGGTCAACCGCCACCTCGATTTCCCTGCAGTTTTGAGAACTGATCCTGACCCAGGCTACGCATAAAATTAATTAACCATGCCACTCGATCGCCGCGATAACGCAACAATAAAAAAACAACGCCAAACGCTTCTTATCGACTCGCATAATAATCGCGATAGCGTTGCTTGGAAAATATGTTTATTATTAAACCCGAATCTGTTGCGAAAATCCCCAGTACTTCGCCTCCACGTGCCGTTCTCTACACGGGCCAGACTGTTCGGCATTTAGTAGGCGAGGGACGCGCGCGGAAGGACGCGAATGCGCGTTCGGTTCTCATCGGCTTTCACCGCCACCGCCGATCGCGCGAGAGGTAAACATTTAGTTTGATTTTAGCCCAACTAAGTGTAGCACAGAAGAAAAATTGGTACTAAATAACACCACCGAGTGCTATTTGACAATTTACAAGCTGTTAGGACTCGCATTGTGCATCCTTCCGCCGCCCTGCGAACAACCTGACAATCCCGGATGGCCCTTTCTGAATCCACAGGCCCGCAAACCTGAAAAATTGTAAGTTTTTTCGTTCTTTACCAGGTTCTGAAGGGGTTCTAAATCACCTGTGGCTGTTTCCACCGATAATTTTGTCGCAGTTTTGAAAAAAATGTGTTTTTTTTGAGTTTTTGCGGTTGGGTTGGTACGGCTCACACGGCCTTTGTGATTTCAGTGAGTTGTCAAAATTGTGATTTCTGTCAAAAAACCGCTCAAAATGTCATTGAGTAAATAAAATGTGTGTAATGTGGACCGGCGCGGTGGGCGGGGGGGCGCAGGGGGCGCTCTAACTCACGACCTACGTCTCTCTAGGTTGTCGAGGTCGGTGATCGTTGTAAAAACCAGCCCGACACTCCACGTGGAGGCGAATGACTTCGGTACGCACGCTCGTGCCGCTAGTACAGATTCTTTCTATACCGACTTGACGGCCTCGTGTAAACGCCACAGTCGTTCGCCTCGATGCATCGCTCCTCGTGCCGTTCATTTAGCAGTTGTTTTGGCCTGACCAATCAACGTTTATTATAAATAGAACGCGCTGCTTGCCATAAACAAATGCATATCGGCGTTGGTGTTGCCATTTCGACGTTCACTTCTTTTTTCATGACCTACCTTGCGATTTGCGCGATATTTGGTGAGAATCGAGGGAGAGTGCGTTGACTCGGGTCCCTTTTCGGGGGTCAAAAACCGACCTAAGCCGCCCTACCCCCACCTACGCAATGCACACGCACGGGGCGGAGCCTGGGTCCCATCATCAACGCACTCGCACTTGTCATACTCCTGCATTGTTATGGTGCATTTTCGGTGATGGAAGCAGTGCCTTCTGGGACGTCTTGATGTGTTGTTTGGTCGCGAGTTTTTACTAACACTCAGTCATGGCTCAAAAAACCTGCGACAATGATAAGACCAACGCGCAGGAGGTTTTCATCAAAAATTTACTCATGAGGTGCAAGGCGGAACGGAGTGGTGCGTTATTTTATTTATTTATTTTCTCAAACTTTATAATTTGTGAGTTTTTGTTCTAAATTTATTCCAAATTTAAATTTATAATTTTGTGTTATTTTGTCATACATAATACTTAACTTGATATTTCTGGCGTGTACTTTATTATAAGCAATATACGTAACTTACTAATGAACTGCATGAAATCACTCATTCGCTACTTGCAGTCATGCGAATTTAACGGTTATTATATTGTGAAGGGGAAGTTTTCTTGTAAAGGGTGAGTTATGCAAGAATTTATTTTCGATGTGAATAATTAAATGTTTAGTAGAAGGCATCTGTCTTTTTTTAAGATCAAAGTAACTGGTATACTTAAAAATATTAGAAAAAGAAAACACTTCTAAAAAATTAATCGGTTCAGAACTCTTCGATTTTCAAGTACAAAAATAACGTCACTGTAAGAGAAATATACAGGTGCGCCAGAACTCGCGCCCCAGAGAAAAATGCTATATAAGGTAAGATACCAGGAACATGGAAAAAATCTTTAAAAAATTTTATCTACAAAAATTTCGAAGTTATGAGGGTTTAAAGTTTGCACTTTGACTCTATTTATTTCTGTTGGAAAAATAATTTTCCAAGGTTTTTTTGCTATAGGCTATTAAAAGAGGAAACAAGGAAGCTGTATCCTAAATTATAACTTTGTTCAATGTTATTTGTGGCTTTTATTGGCAAAATTTGTGACCCTTTACTAAATAATTGTAAAAAAACATATACAAGGTCATCAGTATCCTTAAATAGATATAAAGAAATGTTAAATGACAAAAAATAAATGTCAAAATTTTTTGACAGATAGAATTTTTTTAAACATTTTTTTCATGTTCCTGGTATCTTACATTACTTGAGAATTTTCTCTGATTCGCGAGTTTTGGCGCACCCTGTATACAGACTGTTCTGTAATAATTATTATAGTCTTCGCAATATTTATATTTTGTACATGCTTTGCTTATTTTTGGATTTGCTGTTTTCCAACTGACCTAGTACCTAGAGTTTTTGTTTTTTATTATATGTAGTATGTTTGAGATTATTTTAGAAACGTCAGAACAAGATAATTTTTGATAAATTCCAGAAAGCGGGAGATAAACTAAGTTTTTCCTATAAATAAATGAACAATTAAAAATTGAAACTATTTTACTTTTCTGAAGAATACTTACGTACTAGCGTTTCAAGTGTTTGCAAACATATTTTTTTAGATAGGAACCCATAGCGTTTGGCACCTCCACCATATAATTGAACGCAGATTTTTTAATGGAATTGGTTTATTTGTGATATACAGGCTGCGCCAGAACTCGCGCCCCAAAGAAAATGTCATGTAAGGTACGATAACAGGAAMATGRAAAAAATGTTAAAATAATTCTATCTATAAAAATTTCGAAGTTATGAGAGTTTAAATTTTACACTTTGACTCTATTTTTCATGTTCCTGGTATTGTTTCTTACATGACATTTTTCTCTGGGGCGCGAGTTCTGACGCAGCCTGTATTGTTTTAATTTAGCTTTGACTATTGCGTTTTTTTATTTAGAAATATTGTGAATTGTTTCCCTTCGTTGCAGAGGATCTTTGGCAAATGCCGGAAATGGTTGGCTACTACACCGAAGGACCCTTGGCCGTTGCGCCTATTCCAGCCGTTGATGAGGCCCGCCTTTCCGTAAAAAAAGTCGTCTGCAGTCCCGATTTACCCATGTCCGAATTTCCCTCCAGCGCCACTCCTCAGCTGGATCCAACCGTCAACATTCAGTGTCAAATCTGCAATAAAATGTTTGCTACAAAATCCGCCTTCCAGGCGCACCAACGCTCCCACACCCAGACCCAAACCCACACCCGCGAAACGGAGGATCCCTACCGTTGCAACATTTGCTCGAAGACATTCGCGGTCCCGGCCCGACTCACTCGCCACTACCGGACTCACACCGGGGAAAAACCCTTCCGATGCGAATTCTGCAACAAGCGGTTCAGCGTTAAAGAGAACTTGAGCGTTCACAGGAGGATCCACACCAAGGAACGTCCTTACAAATGCGATGTTTGTTCTCGAGCTTTCGAACATTCGGGCAAGTTGCACAGACATATGAGGATTCATACGGGGGAAAGACCTCACAAGTGTGACGTCTGCTCCAAGACTTTCATCCAATCGGGGCAGTTGGTCATTCACAAGAGGACGCACACGGGGGAGAAACCCTATGTGTGCACCGTGTGCTCCAAAGGGTTCACTTGTAGTAAACAATTGAAGGTCCATAGTCGTACTCACACTGGGGAAAAACCCTACTCGTGCGAGATTTGTGGTAAGTCCTTTGGGTACAACCACGTGTTGAAATTGCACCAAGTGGCCCACTACGGGGAGAAAGTCTACAAATGCACGATTTGCAACGACACTTTCAACTCGAAGAAGAGCATGGAGGCCCACATTAAGAGTCACTCAGAGAACGCCCCCACAGCTTCAACTCCTCCCGCTTCGTCTACCTCGAGCGAATCGTCTTGCTCATCCAGCACTAGTGACAAAGAGAACAAAGACTCGTTACCAACTCAGGAACCTCTTAGTTACGATTCGGATATCCGGTATCTCATCTACCCCCGCGACCCCCTGTCGCCCGGCTACATGGTACCTCAGTCGTACTCGGGGACGGGGGTGGAGCTTCTGGCGGCGGCGGCCACTGCCACCGAACGCGAAGACGTGGTGTTTAACATCATTACGAAGAATCCGGTGATGACGGCGATTCGGCAGCAACCGTATTTCCCGACCCCCACCGTGCAATACACCCCGTTGAATGCCGGAGATGCCATTAGGAAGAAGGTGGAGGCGGTGTTGGGAGTCGGCGAGATCCCCTCTGAGGAGGAGAATATCCTGACGCCCCCCAGCTCGAATCCCGTGTCGCCGGCGTCGTCGCCAGTGTCAAGTTCGCCGGACCGAGAGTTGAGTCTTCCGCCGAGGAAGAGATCGAGGATGATCTTGAAGTCGTTGGAAGAAACAATAGACTTGTCACCAGTGCGTTACAGTTCGGTGATACAATATGCGGGAGCGTCGTAATTTATTTACCAAATGGCCGTACTTTGAGAGTTATTTTTTGTTACAGACTGTTTTTCTCTTGGACTTGATTAGTTGATTTTTTTGCGGGAGCTTTAATCAACGTTCAAACAACACCAAAACGGACTTTTTTTTTCTGTGATAAGACTGTATGATAACCGACATTTTACCTCATTGCAGTGCCTAGGGTGCAGATACCCTCGCAATATTGTGTTACACGAGACTTAGAAGTGTAATGCTCATCTCATTATTATTTTATGTCGTTTTTAGTATTTTTATTCTATTTTCCAATCTTATAGATAATTGAAAAATAGCGTAAAACGTAGAAGTGGATTTTCTATTGATTTTTAATAATATGTTTACTTTTTCATAATGTAAAAGTGTACTGTATTTCATAGTCTGAACCGTTGATTGAAATACAACTCAATGGTAGTAACTTATTGTATTCCTTATCATCTATGTATTGATTAAACGATTCGCAAAAATAAAATGTACCTATATTGAACTCTATTATTTTATTTACAAAAACTTTAAAGTACTGAAAACATTTTGGTTTTTACCATTTAAATTTATAAAACCCTGTAATGACAGTTATAAATAACTTTCATTTTTTAATGAAACAACTTATTAGTTTATAAGAGTTTTTAAGTTATTATTACAATTTATTTTAATAAGATTTAATAGTTTACTGCCACCTATTGCACAATAGCCAAACTACTAGGAATTGAGTAAAAAGAAATCTTACAAATAATAATGTGGAATGACATTTGTTTAACATAACCTCAATATTTACCAATTATAAATTCAATCAAATAATGTGATTTTATGAAAATAATGGAAGACACAAGTAATCTTAAAATGTATCCTTTCAAGTGATTTTTAAATTTTAATTCAGTACATATAAGCCTTGACGATTATTGCTAGAGACATCGATATTCCATTTCCCAGTGAAAGACTGGCCGAGGTTGCTTACCACRTTCTGCGAGTGGAAAAAGAGCCCAAAAGAGGTGGAGTAACTAAGGAAATAACATACAATAAAAATATTTTGCAAGTGTAAGACCCTCCCGTTTTGCATTGAGAAAAAAATTGATGTTTTGCATTTTTTTGTAGAAAATTCACTGCCCAATTAGCACGCCAGTTGCGAGTCGCCGTCACTAGTTTTTTTGATAATTTAAACCTGATAACTGAAACTATTGAGTTTGCAGGTGATCCTGTTAGTTCCACTTATAGCCATTTTTAAAATGCCTGAACATACACCTGCTCCTACGCCAAGTAGGGCTGTTTATGGCTTTGCCATGTTTTTGAGTTTTAGAACATTTTTCATTTTGTATTTAGTTTGGGCAGTACTTCCAGAAGAGTGGTTCAGATATGTTGGAATCACTTGTTTGCCTCAGAGATATTGGGCTGTTGCCATACCTATTTTTCTCCTAACAGTGTTGGCAATTTTTGCGTTTGTTATTTATCCAAATTTAGGACTATTCATGACGCCTAATGTTGATGATTTAAGGACGATTAAAGACTCAACGTGTGTCAAAACGAATAAAGTTAATTTGCCATTACCCAAAAATTCAGAGATTAAATGTTCTTGTAAAAATGAGGAAAGGTGTTTTAAAAATGACTTTGAGAGGAATTGTGGCGATTATGTTTCAAAAGCAATCCCAGTGTTACAAGATCTCAATATATGGGAAGTTTCAGACCACTTGTATTTCAAGTAATTTTTTACAAATTTTATTGAACAGTATTTTGAAAAGAATACAAGAAAAATAAAGTATTTCCTAATTATAGATTTTTGTATTTTGTTATGACATAACTACACGTAATAATGTGGCTTTTTAATAGTAATTCCAAATTCAGCCAATGCTGGAGTTAAATCCTCCATTGTTAAGCAATAACGCCTATCCTTGGATCCTTTAGATCCCTAGAAAAAATATTTTAAACATAAATTGCGCTTTCCACTAACTATCCAAACCTTTGAGCCCCCATGACTGTTAGACGAGTTACTAGAACGCATTTTGCAATGTTGCAGAGCGTCATTAGCAATATCTGAAATAAATTTTTGAGCAGCTATTGAAATCAACCTAATTAATCTCGGATCTTTTGCTTCGCAACCAGAAGATCGTAAAAAATGTGCAGTTACAGCATCGGGTATCTAGAAATTAAAACTTTAGTGGTTTTAAATCGTATATTTTGCGACTTACAGTTGGGGTGTAGTCTTCCAATTGAAGCAAAAAATTACTCAACGGTTGACCAAAAGTGGCAGGTTCGTTATCATCCACAATCATTTTATCACTTGCCTCAGCCATTTTCGTCAAATAACAAGCAAAACGATTATTTAAACGAAATTGTTGTTTATGATGTACACTTTCGATGAATTGACAGTTTTGACCACAGAACAGGTTTTGACAAGTAGTTCCTTATTTTGTTCAGAAGATCTACTCTTAATCTCGCCGCGTGTTCTTTAGACCGAAATAGGCATTATGATTGTATATTTGGTTGTCTAACGTGTTTTCTATTTTTAATTTTGCTATTACTTATGTATTATTTACTGAGTTTACTTTTTCCTACATACAATACACGTTAATATTTTTTATAAATGCTAAATCATTTCCATCAAAATTCACTTTTTATTTGTGGGTTTTTGCATTCCACTGAAAATTTCATGAGGCAATGAAATACAAGAACATTTTATTTAAAAATTATGACAAATTTGTGCGTGAGTGCATATGACTCAGAGTATGATTGTTTTATGACTCCCATAAGGCATGTATGTATATTTTCCTGCCGTTAGTTTTTCACCGCTAATTCCAAACCGTTATAACCGCCCAGTTATAACAGAATTTAGCAACAATAATAATTAAAAATAATTAGTGCATTCCAAAATTAGCTTGCAGTGTTTGAATTGGTTTGTTTCTCAGCTGAGCAACAACCAACAATCAACCTGCTGTACCAAAATAGGTGTGGCGCCACACTGCCAAAGAAGCTGTCAAATAGGTTTAGAAAATTTTACAATTTTACAATAATAAACTGAATAATAATGGTAGTCAAAGTTTACATTAGCGGCATTTCCGGCAATAAAGAGGTGAGTGCAGTTCCGATAACCTCAAATTTTGTACATTCTTACTAATCCGTTTAGTTAATTTATAAAAATACACCTGTTCTTTTGACAGGTGAAGAAAAGACAGCAAAGGGTCCTTCTGATTTTAGATTCAAAAAATATCAATTATGAAGTCATAGACATTGCTGAACCCGAAAATGAGGAGAAAAAGGATTTCATGCAGAACAATTCCACGTCTTCAGGAGCCACAATCAGTGACCCTAATCCAAGGCATCCTCTACCTCCACAAATATTCAACGACGATGTCTATTGTGGGGTAAGAGCATAATTTTGTTTTATTAATTTACTTCTTATCAGTCTTATCAAAACACAACACAATTTGTTCATTTAGCATCAACATGCACTTAAAATAGATTGGAAGAAGTCCATTAATTGCTTTGTTTCATTTGAGATTTTTGCCTCTTTATTTTTAAACAAAATGTGTTTATTTTGTGTCTTGTTTTACATTTCCACTTATTACATCATCAATTCCAATATTAAATCATGCAATGGCATGTTCAAGTGCTAAATAATCACACCACAAAATGCTCAAATGCTGTGATATGGCTGTGATTTTGCAAATAATTGTTATTTCATGTTTGTTGAATATTTTTTTAAATCATAATCAAATCTAGTGGCTGAAACTTGAACCAAATTTAGTGACGTCAAATGAGCAAATTGTCTGATTGGCTATTTTGAATTTCAGTGCTTACTTTGGCATTTTTAGACCAAAAAAGCATGACTTTCGAGTTTGTTTTGCGACATATTTTTTCAATCAAATATTATATCCTAGTCATTATATCTATTTACAATTACGAGAATTTTGTGTTGACATATTAATCGTAATTGATGGGACCTGTTAGAGGCCATATGCTGCTATCCTGAACAAATATTTACTATGTTTACGTTTGTTTAGAATGCCTTTACGTAAATATGGTATAAACTATGTAGGTTTTATAGCAAAATAAAGAATTGTGGAGGGGTCTTTTTAGGACTATGATCAATTCGATATGGCGAACGAAATCGACGAAATGGAAAAATTTTTGAAATTAGCTCCTAGCGATTCTGAGCCATCTGTAACGTCAAACGCCGAACTAAAACTGGGCAATGGTGAAATTCACAACGCCCCTCAAGAATCCAATGAAACCAAAGAAACAGAAGAATCAAAAGACGAAACTGTGCCTGACAATAATGAATCTGGCGATGCCAAAGTCGAAAATGGCGAAGAAACTGAAGAGAAACATGTCGAAGAAAATGAAGAAGAGGCTGATGAATAGTTAAAAAAAAACACCAAGATCGTATTTAATTGGCGAATATTTATTTGTCTTAAATGACTTTTTTTAAGTATTATATTTACGCTATTATTCATGAGGTTAAGGTCCTAATATAGCTCACGGCGAACAAATTGCCTATTATTGTTACACTTTTACATTTTTAATTTGAACCGATCTGAATTTTGTAAATATATTACTTCATTGTTCTATTTAAGTTGCCCAATATATCTATAAACTTTTAATATATTTTTTTATTTCACTAATTTTAATCGATAAAATGTAATAAGTATGTAAAGGATCCTTTAGCGTGTAAACGCAACTTCAGATATTTACCAGTTACACAGATTAGTTGCTAATCTGTGCCAGTTATAAATGTTGGCACGCCTGATTTTTGACACTTGTCCAAAATGTCCACCGTTTCAAATATTTTCAATGTCAATATTAAGTTAATAAATCGTCATTTAACCCATTGTTACTCTGTCAGAAGCTTTAGTTACATACATACTAAACGAAAATCAGCGAAATTTCTACCAGTCATTTACCAAAGTCAGAGGGTGAGTGTCAAAATTTTTAGGTTATATTTCGAACAGTCGATGCGAAATTATGCAATATCTACGATAAAAATAATTTATAGGTCTATGCAAGCAAAGATGTTGAATCAAATTCATCAGGTGTAAGCGGGGGCATCTTGGCAAGAACATTGCAACGCTTTAACGCACTACCAAAGGGCCAAACAGTAAGAGGATGTTTTCATCCAGGATCCTCCGCCCTATCCAGGGATGCTCTTCCTTTAAACACCAAAGAAGTCGTAACGGGGACACAAATGGTCAAAGCAATGTTACAATACATTTGGCCTAAAGATAACAAAGCTGTAAGAGACAGGGTAACTTTAGCAGTTGGACTTCTGATTGGTGCCAAAGTTTTAAATGTATCAGTCCCCTTCATTTTTAAATATTCTATAGATTATTTAAATTCTGCAGGCACTTTGAATTTGGACACAGCTCCAGCCACTGTTGCTACTTTTTCCACCAGTTTACTTATTGCTTGTATGTCATAAGCAACCGATTCTTTTAAATTTAACTCAATGGAAATTTACAGACGGTCTTGCTAGAGCCAGCGCTGCCGGTTTTAATGAACTCAGAAACGCCGTTTTCGCCAAAGTTGCACAACATTCAATCAGAAGAATCGCAAAAAATGTTTTCCTACATTTGCACAACTTGGATCTAGGTTTCCATTTAAATAGACAAACCGGTACTTAAATAACACGTTTGTGTCCAGTTTTATAATTAATTTTATTTAGGTGCTCTGTCTAAAACAATAGATAGAGGGTCTCGCGGTATCAATTTTGTACTATCAGCTATGGTTTTYAACATTGTCCCTACTGTGTTTGAATTGGCACTAGTTTCGAGCATTTTGGGGTTGAAGTGTGGGGCTGCTTTTGCAGGTGATTTTTTGGAAAACTATTTCATTTTTATTTAAATTATTTTGTTAGGGATTTCGTTGGGTTGTGTTGGTGTTTATGCCGCTTATACCCTTGGAGTTACACAGTGGCGTACCAAGTTTAGGGTGTACATGAATCAGGCCGAAAATGAAGCCGGAAATAAGGCCGTTGATTCGCTTATCAATTACGAAACTGTTAAGGTAACTTTGATTATTTTCTCTCAAATAAATTTGCAAAAATATTAACCATTTTTTTAAATATGTAGTTATTACTTGCGCTATTTAATTTAACCAATACTGAAAAAATGTATTTGTTTCAGTATTTCAACAACGAGAAATTCGAAGCCGAACGTTACAACAACGTTTTAAAAAAATACGAAGCTGCCAGTTTAAAAACCAGTTCAAGTTTGGCATTATTAAATTTTGGTCAAAATGCGATTTTTAGTGCTGCCACTAGCGGTATCATGATTTTGGCAGCAAATGAAATAATTAAGGGTAAATTTGTTAAAAATTGAAATATCATTTTTCGAGTATTTCTTTAGGAAATATGACAGTCGGCGATTTGGTGATGGTGAACGGACTTTTATTCCAACTTTCAGTCCCATTAGGGTTTTTGGGTAGTGTTTATCGCGAAGTGAGACAAGCACTAATTGACATGCAAACAATGTTCACTCTCATGACAATGGATCCAGCTATTAAGGTAAAACATATATAATAAAAAAAATATTATTAATACGTGACTATAGAGCAAAATTCACGCACCTTATTTACACGTTGATTCCAAAACATCGGACATCCGGTTCGAAAATGTGTCTTTTTCGTATGGACCAGGAAAAGACATTTTGAAAGATTTGAGTTTCACGATTGCGCCGGGTAAGAAAATCGCAATTATAGGTGGATCGGGATCAGGGTAATTCCCCCAAATTTCCTCATTTTAAGTAGATTTAATTCGTTTATGTTAAATTAGAAAGTCAACAATAGTTCGTCTTTTGTACCGCTTTTACGAACCTTCCTCTGGTCGCATATTAGTCGGCAATCAAGACATCCGCGATGTTGATTTAGAAAGTTTGAGACGAGCGATTTCAATCGTCCCTCAAGACTCTGTTTTGTTCCACGACACAATAAAACACAATTTACACTATGGTGATTTGATGGCAAAAGAAGAAGACGTTATTAATGCCGCAAAAATGGCCGAAATTCATGACTCTATAATAAAATGGCCTCAAGGCTACGAAACTCAAGTTGGTGAAAGGGGGCTGAAACTCTCAGGGGGCGAGAAACAACGAGTCGCTATCGCTAGAGCAATTTTGAAAAATTCGCCAATTCTAGTCTTTGACGAAGCCACAAGTTCACTAGATTCTTTGACTGAACATGTGAGTCATTTTTTTTTAAATGACTTTAATCAAAATTAATTTTTAGAATATTTTAACTGCATTGAAGAGAGCAACACAAGGACGGACGAGTATTTGCATAGCACACAGGTTGAGTACTGTGATGGACGCCGACGAGATTTTTGTTCTTGAAAATGGTCAAGTTTCCGAAGTTGGCACTCATGAAACTCTTCTACAAAATCCTGAAAGTTTATATTATCGATTGTGGAGGACACAAAACCATCAGGACTTGGGTGGTAACACGAGAAAGTCGTTTGAAATTTAAATGGATGTGTAGAAATACGAACTATTGTTTTACAAAGTTTTATCATTTCCCAGTTGTTAATTTTATTAATGTAAATACTGTATATACGTATACAAAAACATTTAATTTAAATGAATCTAATTATGGAACAAAATCGACTTTTGATTGTCCCTTTTGAAATAAATTCTTCATTGTTGTTCAAGTATCTATAGCAACCACATTTATGTACATACAAACATATGATCCTGCAATGCAGTTTTAATTATTAAAAGGCTCTACACGTTTTATACTGTTTTTTAATTAAGTCTTCTAATGGCAAGTTGTACTACGCCTCAAAAACCATCAGAAAGGTATTGCATTTTTGTGATTTCACAATTTGACAGTGACATTGTAGAAGTAAAAGTTGTGAAACGGCATGTTCGTCAAATTCGAGTTGTTTTTTTCAAAAACGGAAACCCACGAATCCGTTAGCTGCTTCTCTCCGTAGTGGTCTTTCACGAAGTACGGGAAATTCAGTCAGACAGCGAGTTTTATCAGCAAAGTTATTAAAGTTGAAAAGTGTGCAAAACCAATTGAATGATGCTAATTATCACTTGGCGGTAAGTAATGGCATTTTTTTAAGTAGTAAGTGGGCCCCTAGTCAACACAGCTACTTTTTAAGGGAAACACCCCGATTTTCAAGGGGAAGAAAAGCAGAAAAAATCGTGAAAACACCTCCGTTTGTAAGGTATATTTTAAAATTAACATTTTTTCAACGATTTTGTCCTGTTTTTCTAATGGGCCACTTGAGCACAAAAATGAATACGGTTTCGCCCATGCGAATTCGCTTCGTTCATGAGTGGACTACGTCCACGAATTCACAGTACTGTTTTATAAGGTTAACGACTTTAAAAGAAACACAGTATTTATTATTAAATTAGGATTATATGCGATTTTACCCTGTTATAGCAATAATAGAGGATTAGCATAATTATAGAACTAGAGCTTATTCCATATCTGGTGGCGAACTGACAGTGACAGAAAAGACACTTGGAGTGCGCCCACTTGGCTAAGATAAAAAAATACATGGGCGTACTTTTTTTTCTCTAAAAATTTTGAAGACAAGGATTGTTAGGAATATCATTCTTTTCATGTGTTAACAATTTAATAATTTGTTTATCATTTTTCATCCTATGTATGAGTACATACTTATTATAATTTTTTAAAGAATAACAGTGGTTTTTAAATATTATTTCATACGACGCCTATGAATAATATTTTTTTTAATAGTAAACATATGTTTAGTCACAAAATTCAGTCATTTTTGACATCAGTTCGCCACCAGATTTGGAACAAGCTCTACTTATGTCAAAAATAGATGAAGACTGGCAGAGCCACCCCAGAGGCAAAGACGAAAATAAAATGAAATTTATTTAAAAGAATTATGTGAGTTGGAAAATTCGGTGTATACCCCTTCAGAAAATTACCAAGTTTTTATTCACCTTCGGCCTGCGGAGCCGTAGTCGGTCATGAGTGGACTACGTCCACGAATTTAAAAGAATTTATGCACACATTTTATCACTTCTTCCGGAGATAACTTTTACTCATTACTTTTAATTTTCTTTTTTATCTAATTAATATCCAAATGGATTGTATCAAAATTTTCTAGAATAACTCTCATCTTGTCATAAACAAAACCAATTTCCTTTGTTTCTATTTTATTTAAAAGTTCTTTAGTCTTAGTATCTCGGGTAATTCGATGATATTGTGTACTGATTTTACTGTCTTTCTTTTCTAAAATATTATTTATACTATCGGAATTAATCTTTTCGGACGTTTCATAGTTTAATGTAAATCCTTTTATTGTATAAACAACCTTATCTGTATTAGTCTTATAACAATAACTTTTTGGACCTGTATTACTGTTTTCATCAAAGCCATCACCTTTTGATCGACATATTTTTAGTTCACCATCGTTTAATGCGTGTTTTATATTTTGATTCTGAAAACTATTCAACCAAGAAATTGATTATTGTTGAGAATATTGATCTTTTTTTCAGATTATCAACAACTGCAATTGTATCTTTCTTAATATAAATATTTTGATCTATACAGAGTGCGCTAGAACTCGCGCCCCAGAGAAAAATGCCATATAAGGTAAGATACAGGGAACATAGAAAAAATGTAAAAAAAATTATCTATAAAAATTTCGAAGTTATGAGGGTTTAAAGTTTGCACTTTGACTTTATTTATTTCTGTTGGAAAAATAATTTTCTAAGTTTTTTTGCTATAGGCTATTAAAAGAGGAGACAAGGAAGTTGTATCCTAAATTGTAACTCTGTTCAATGTTATTTGTGGCTTTTATTGGCAAAATTTTTGTCCCTTTACTAAATAATTGTAAAAAAAAACATATACAAGATCATCAGTATCCTTGAATAGATATAAAAAAATGTCAAATGTCAAAAAATTAATGTCAAAATTTTTTGATAGATAGAATTTTTTTCATGTTCCTGGTATCTTACCTAACTTGAACATTTTCTCTGGGGCGCGAGTTCTGGCGCATCCATAATATCCTTTTTTAAGTTCTTTTAATCCGAATGTTTTGGGGAAGCTTTTTAAAGGTCCTTTAACAAAATTACTACTATCAATAATTCTTGAGTTAATTGATTTTATTTCCATTAACATTATTTTAGACCCATTATACAGGGAGCGCCAGAACTCGCACCCCAGAGAAAAATACCATATAAGGTATAGTCGTAACCAAAAATATTTGGGATTGACGTATGCAAAGCTTTATTGGGGGTTAAGCAGCCTTGCGGTCGGCCGCACTGTTGGTGCCCTGAAGATTTACAAAAGAGCCGTATTTGGGAATTTTCGTGGTAGGCTTTTAATTTATTACAGGCAAAAATTTCGGAATTTGTGTATTAATTTAATATTAAAGTGATAATGCAGATTTGTAAAGAAACAATCTCAAAATATAGCTGAATATTAAAATTAATTTATTTTTTTTTTGATGAAAGCTCAACAAATTTCTGTTACGGACAGATATACAAATTTGTTTATGGCATCTCTACCGCAAGCCCCATGAACTACCGTGGGGGGTAATCGTCTTATTCTATAATGAGTCTCAAATATTGTTGGTACMAACTATACCTCCTTATATTAACTTTGTTTATTTACCGTACAAGGAAGTTTGTTGGCAACACTGACTGTCAACTGCTAAGCAGTCTAAATTTGTTTATTGCCACTAGAAACCAACCTAACCAAATTTATGGCAACCTATTCACGAATATCCCTAAAACCTAGGGAGTAATTTCTTGTTGATACGACAATAGACATGGCCCTAAGTTTTAGGAACGTAGTCGGACAAAATCTACGAGAGGGTCAATATAAAGCAGTTTATTAATCGTCACTATATTTGACAATATTCTTTAGTTGTAGTTGTAGACTGCGMTAACGCTAAAGACATTACGAAGACGAAAATCATGTACGTGCCCGAAGGACATGAAGGTGGCTGCCGTCAATGGATGCTTAGCAAATAGCGATCATCCATGTTGTTGGGAAGTACTATATGATTATAAACCCGAGACAGGAAAAAGATGTAGCTCAGAAGGCGCAAAAAACACTTTTGAGGACATCGTAAAATTTCGACCATTTAACGTTAGCGTAAAAAACAGCGAAACACAATTGATCGGATTTCCGTTGAAGTATCGTGTACAATTCACAGTTGATGATTGTAGATGCAAGAAGTTGGATTTTGAATTCTGTAATTTTATGAAAAACCTTAATGCCTAGAATACTTAATATTAATTAATTAAATAACATTAATATCACATTTTTTTTTTAACATGTAAGTTCCTATCTACCTAATATCTACTTATTTTAAAATCTTAATTTCCTACAAAAATGTTTAGTAGTCTATGAATGAACAGATACTTGGCGGTTCCATTTTGGACCTAAGGCATCAATGGTTTTCTTAATAACTTTGGTAGTCTAATATGTGTAACTTTTTAACTCAGATTATTATGCCTAGTTTTCACCTAGTTCACATTTTAAAAAAGGCCATAAAAAATAGGGTAGTGTGCATAAAAAATTGATGTTTCAATAGATAAAATGGGTCTATAAACTTAGTCATTTTCTGGAGCGTATACCGTTTGGATATACACCGAATTTTCCAACTCACATAATTCTTTTAAATAAATTTCATCTTCGGCTTTGTCTCTGGGGTGACCCTGCCATCAGTCTTCATTTATTTTTGATATAAGTAGTCCTACAGTGTGTTCCGTTTTTGTTGTTACAAATTGAAGCAGGTGATAGGATATTCAATTTTAAGATAAAAGTTTCCTATAAACATATTAAATAAGGGAGCTACATCCCCTGAAAGGGGTGCATCTTTTAATGGATTTCTTTCAATATTTCAGTAACCATTGTAGATAAAATTTCAAAATTTGGTACAACTGATAATCTTTATACTCTCAAACGAATTCAAAGATAAAATGTCGAAATTTTTACTCAGGGGCGTCCTAAACTGAGGGGGTTTAGGGTAAAAGTACCCTAACTATTTTGGCTGTTGGTTCGTGCCATTTTCAGCCACAGAATTCTAAATTTCATAGTTTTTTACAAAAAAGAGGTCTCTTGCGTTTTTTCGATACAACTTACCGTTTTTAAGTAAAATTAGTTTACAATGGTCTTACAGACCATAAAGAGGATAAAAATTAAAAATTAAATTTAAGACACCCGTGATTAAAAATTTTAACAACTGATCTTTGAATTTGTTCAGGTGTTATCAGCTGTACCAACATTTGTAATTGCAATATTTTAAAACACCATTAAAAAACACATCTTTTTCAGGGGGTGTAGCTCGCTTACGTAACATTTCTTGATACATGTTCATAGGAAACTTTTGTCTTAAAATTGAATACTCTATCACCTGTTTAAATTTGTAACAATAAAAACGGAACATCCTGTATAATTATGCTAATCCTCTATTATTGCTATAACAGGGTAAAATCGCATATAATCCTAATTTAATAATAAATACTGTTTTTCTTTTAAAGTCGCAATATCTTTGAAAAAATGTTAATTTTAAAATATACCTTAAAAACGGGGGTGTTTTCACGATTTTTTCTGCTTTTCTGTTTACCCTTGAAAATCGGGGTGTTTTCCTGTGTTTACTGGGGCCCACTTACTACTTTTTTAGTGTAAAATTGAAATTTGGTTTTGTGCAGGAAGTGATTCGGGAAAATCAGGCTTTGAAAACGCTACAGAAGCGACAAGATAGAGCATTGACAAAGTAAGGTAGAAACTTTTGGGGTTTGAGGGTTGGAATTTGATGTTTAAGGTACGAGGGTGCTAATGCCGAATTGCCACGTCTGATACAATCACACGAGGAAGAAATAAGGTTTTTAACGGAAAAAAACAAACAGTTGAGACGAAATGTGAAAGAGCTGAATGATCAATTAAAACATAAAAACGACGAATTGCAAAGTGTCCAAGAACAGTTGAAACATTATGAAAAACTCGACAAAGATAAACACTTGTTGGAAAGAGAGAAATTAATCGAGGAATTAGAAGACGTGAAGAAAAAACTCGGTAAGGCTGATAATGAAATTGTTGTTTTGAATAGAAAACTGACTTTGGAAAGCAAGACTTCGAAACAGAGACTCAATATGGAAATGGCAAAACACAAGCAGTGTCAGAAAGAACTTGCGCAAGCTTTGACCGAAATTGCAAAATTAACAAAGTTGATAGAGGTATTGGTTACTTTTCGAATCATTCTTTTACAACCGTTTTTATTTTAGACTAAAGAAAAGTCTTTGATCAGCAATGCCCGCAAACGCTTTGCAAATTTGGTTCCAAGGCAGGCGACGTCTCTAATTTCTTTGAATGGTACTAAAGAAGAATTGGATAAAACCCCTGTAACGGACGTCAAGTTGGAGCCTCTATTAAAACCGAAACAAGACGGTAGTAATTCGCTACAAAATGGCAAAGAGTACAAAAGCATCCTCAAGTGTCCTTCTGAAAATGTCCGAGCGAGATTATCGGCGGATTTGAGAAGAGATCCTGACGAAGACACTCCCCCGATTGACAAAACAAGTTTAACAGGGAGCGATTTTTCGACTGAGATTAAATCGAGGCCTAACTCCTCAACTAAGTTGGAAAGAATCGAAATGAATTTACAAAACACGATACGAAAAATTGAAGATCATAAAAACAACGACGAATTCAATAAACGTCTAGGTGACTACTGTTTGAAGGCAATAGATTCAGTTAAAAATTACAGTAACGTGATTGAAACTCACAAAGAAAACTTGGGGTATGCTAAAGAGGACACCGAAAAAATTAAGGAGACTGTCAAAGATGCGGAACACATGGAGTTGCGGTTGAAGAAAGCACATTTGTTGTCGTTTGATAAAAACGCTTTGACTGATGATAATTTAGATTTTGTTAGTCAGATTTTAAAGGAAGAGGCTGAGTTTCAAACGAAATATAAGAATGGAAATGTGAAAAAGGAACCAGCCGTTGGAGTGAATGATAAAAAAAAGCTTTTAGCTACGTTAAGGGCGATTGATAATGGGGACAGCGTGGAGTCATTCGACAGTAACATTCAAAATAATCATTTGATGAAGGAGCTGTTTGGGGACACGCAGGATTAGGGGTGTTATTAAATTTCAAATATTTATTGTATTGTTATTTAAATAAATATGTTAATGTCAGGTCGATACTAAATTTAGGCAATTTGTACCAAATGTGAAAATTATATCATTATTATGAAAAATGATTTTTTTACTGTTTAGACAAAGGGAGGGTTCAAAATTGCAAAAAATGCTGTAACAACATCTATATTGTTAGAAATTAAACAACAAAACTCACAAACGCAATACTTTTATTACTCAAAATAATTACAAAAATTATCAATAAATGATAGTGGCAACTTGTCCGAGCGTTTCGTGAATAATGAGCAATTCAATTCAACCGGCAGCGGCTATCGGCACTTACATAACGTCCCTTAACACAAAGAAAACGTGTCATATCACTAAAAACACATCACCTGACAATTGTAATCGCTTCTACAATTTTCGACCAATTATTGAATAATTGTGAATTACCCAATCCTACCCAATTTTGCACTAAATAATAACTAATCTTATTAATAATAAATGAGAGAWCAAACCCGCAACTACAAAAAAACAATTTTCTATTTCTAACAATATTTTATTGAAAATACAATTCGACACTATCTATACAGATCTTTAGCCGGAGTTCTATCTGTAGATCTATCTCCAAACTTGTAGCTGTAATCAATCTACAGACCTGTAACTGTAGATTTATCTACAGAGCTGTAGATCTACTTTAGATTTATCAACAGACCTATAGATCAATCTACATACTTGTAGATCAATCTACATACTTGTAGATCAATCTACATACTTGTGATCAATCTATATACTTGTAGATCAATATACATACTTGTAGATCAATCGACATACTTGTAGATCAATGTACAGACATGTAGATCAATCTGCAGGCATGTAGATCTATCCGTAGTTCTATACACAGACCTGTAGATCTATCTGCAGACTTGTAGATCAATCTACAGACCTGTAAATCAATCAACAGAACTGTAGTTTCATCTACAGATCTGTAGATCTTATGCACAGGCCCGTAGATCTATCAGCGGACCTGTAGATCTATCTACAGACATGTCAGTGTAGATCTATCTACAGGCTTGAAACTATAGAACTGTAGGTAGATTTATTTACAGACCTGTAATTGTAGATATATCTGCCCTCTCCGCTTCTTTACAGCTAATCATCGCCATTTCATCGTCTTTTCCGATTCTCGCAATAATGTTTATGTTTTACTGCTTATCCTGTTCCTCTTAGATAAATCAAATTGAAATCATTAAAAAAAATAAATAAAAGGTATCATCCTAGGATGTTAAGCGCATGATAGATTATGAATGGGGCGCATCTAATACATTTCTATGGTACATAGTTTACAGTAGGTAAGTATTATAAGATCATCGGTTTGGACATTTGGACGAAGGGAAGGTTCAAAATTGCGAAAAATGCTGTAACAACATCTATATTTTATTGAATATTGACTACAAGTCGATTTCTAGAATCGAGCAATGTGTAATATACTTTTGACAAAAATAGGCAAAATAGTCTTAAAACAGACAAAACTTAACATTATATAATTCATTACAAATAACCATTTACGTAGTTGCTTTTTATAAAAATAAACAAAAATATGTACAAACAAATTTGAAGTTTAACGAAAATTGAAAACACGATTCCGCGTTGGGCTTTAAATTTATAAATTGGAAGCAGTTTTTATAAAAATACTATCATCAAATCTAGCGTAATAGGTACTTTAGATTGAATGGAATCACGACCAAAAATTTTACTATATTCGCTGCTCTTCGTAATAACTATTTCATCACATTTTTGCTGTTATTGTCTTTTAAACTAAGGCTAATAATAACATTCTCAATTTTGACAACTAATTGAATTTCTTAGCTTGTAGCTACACTACCTGATTCAGATATGTTAATAAAAATGTGTTTTTCAAACAGAAACAAAAGATATGTTACCGCATATAATTTCTCACAATAACAATAAAACACCAAGTGGTAACAATGCAACTGCAAAGAAAAACTTTAAAGCGTTAAACAGTGAGACAGCCAGTTGAAATTTTTAAACGAGACAAGGAACAGGATTGAAACTCGGTTGAGTGATACCACCAGGTCCYGGCAGCGTAGTTTGCCCCTTATTGAGGAACTCATCAACTCTTCTGGCAGCTTGTCGGCCTTCGGAAATGGCCCAAACGACCAAAGACTGGCCACGACGACAATCTATAAAATGCTAGTAATAAAAAGAGACAAACTATTGAAAATGTTTACCTCCAGCAGCGAAAACGTTGGGCAGATTGGTTTTGTAGTCTTTAGTGTTGAAGTTGGAACGTGGGTCAAGGGTGAGTTCGAGTTGGTCGGCGATGGCTCGTTCAGGGCCTAGGAAACCCATAGCTAAGAGGACCAGATCAGCCGGAAAGACTTTCTCAGTTCCGGGGACTTGGTTCATCTGCCAGCGACCGCTCTCGTCCTTGGTCCATTCAACGTTGACGGTTTTCACACCGCTGACGTGGCCTTGGCCATTGTCGATGAATTCTTGCGTCAGGATGCTGAAGACGCGAGGGTCGCTGCCGAAACGGACCTTCACCTGACGAAAAATAAAAAAATAGTAACAAATTATGAATTACAGAATTTTTTTCTGTAAATTTCCTACCTCTTCATGTCCGTAATCTACTCGGAAGATCCTGGGCCATTGCGGCCACGGATTATCAGCACCCCTCTTGGGACTCGGCTCTGGCAAAATCTCAAACGTCGTAATAGAAGCCGCCCCTTGTCTCAACGATGTCGCTATACAATCACAGCCGGTATCTCCCCCTCCAATAATTATCACATTTTTATCTTTGGCATGGGGGCCATTATGCGCCCCTCCCAATTGCTTCTTCTGCCAACTCTCCAGAAACTCCATCGCAAAATGTATGCCTCCCAACTGCCGCCCCGGCAACGGCAAATCTCTAGGCCAAGTGGCTCCGGTACAAAGCACCACAGCATCGTAATCCTCACTTAACTCCTTCGCTGAAATATCCTTCCCGACGTTGATATTCGTCTTGAAGGTAATTCCTTCAGCCGTTAACAAATCAACCCGTCTTTGCACCACGTTTTTACTCAACTTCATTGTAGGGATACCGTATTGGAGGAGCCCCCCAATGCGGTCATTACGCTCGAAGACAGTCACTGAATGACCCCCTTTGTTCAATTGGTGGGCGCAGGCCAATCCAGAGGGCCCGGAACCCACAACTGCGACTTTCTTCCCTGTGCGGAATTGGGGCGGTTGGGGAGTGATCCACCCGTTTTCGAAAGCGTGGTCAATGATGGCACATTCAATGTTTTTGATTGTCACACTCGGCTCAGAGATGCCCAGCACACAGGCGCCCTCGCAGGGGGCCGGACAGACTCTTCCAGTGAATTCCGGGAAGTTGTTGGTTTGGAGGAGGTGGTTCAGGGCTTGGCGCCACTGGTTTTGGAAGATGAGGAAATTCCATTTGGGGATGATGTTACCAAGGGGACATCCGTGCGAGTTTGACTGACAGAAGGGGACTCCACAGTCCATGCAACGGGCCGCTTGGACCCTCAGCCCCTTCCTCACATGACCGAAATTGTAAATTTCATCCCAATCCTTCATACGTTTTTCAGCCGGACGGTACATCCCAGTCTCACGGGGGTACTTCATGAACCCGCGAACCTTGTCAAGTTTCTTTTGTTCAAGGGCAACGTCAGTAACCGCGTCTTCGATGTCTTGGATTTTCGGTTCGCTGTTTTGATTAATCGCGGCTTGTTCCACCTGTTTCTGCTTGAGGGCTCTTTGGTACTCGTAAGGGAAGACTTTAACGAATTCTTTGCGACGTTCCTCGAATTCGTTGATGAGTGTCTCGGCGACGACACTTCCAGTCAAGTCTTTGAATTCTTGGAGAAGGGTTTTGACAAGATCGACATCTTCTTTGTCTTCTAGTTTGCATAATTCGACCAGTTCGGGGTTACATTTCGTGGAGAATTTGCCGTCGATGTCCCAGACATAAGCGATGCCTCCGGACATACCCGCGGCGAAGTTACGGCCGGTTAAGCCGAGAATGAGGATGATTCCGCCGGTCATGTATTCACAACCGTGGTCTCCCACACCTTCTACGACGGCAATGGCACCGGAATTTCGCACAGCGAATCTCTCGGAAGCTATTCCTCGGAAGTAAGCACGACCGGAAGTGGCACCATAAAGACAGACGTTACCCACAATGACGTTTAAGTGGGATTCGAAAGGAGAGGTTTTCGGGGGGTAGATAACAACAGTGCCACCAGAAAGACCTTTACCTGAAATTAATGGAAATAAAACAATTTGAAAGTCCGTATTTGAAATTATTTTACTTACCAACATAATCGTTGGCATCTCCTTCCAGGGTTACAGTAACTCCCTTGACTAAAAAGGCGCAGAAGCTTTGACCTGCTGATCCGGTGAGTCGAATATTAATATGTTGATCGTCTGGTAGACCTCGTTCGTCGTATTTGCTGAAAATAAAAACGTAACATTTGCTAATTTTTCCCATTTTTCTTAATTACCAAGAAATATGGTAGCTCAAAGTCGACGTGAAGGCCCGACACTCGTTTGTTATCTTCATCTCGATGTTAATCGACTTCTGTGTCCCCTCAATCACACCTTTCGCTTTCTCAATTAACTGATTATCTAATCGATTCTCTAGTTGGAAGTCCTGTGTCTTCGACCCGCCTTTAATATTAACTCCAGGCCTCATATGCAGCGCATTTTGCAATATGAGATTCAGATTGAGCATTTTGGCTTTCGGACTTCCACTCTCAGCGACTTTCAGCAAGTCCGTGCGTCCCACTAACTCTTGATAAGTCCTAACTCCCAGCTTCGCCATCAACTGTCTGACTTCCTCCGCCAACATGAACATGTAGTTAATGACATGTTCTGGTTGTCCGGTGAATTTTTTTCGCAAAATCGGGTCTTGTGTTGCGATACCTACTGGGCAAGTGTTTAGATGACATTTTCGCATCATAGTACAACCCATTACGATTAGAGGAGCCGTGCTGAAACCAATCTCGTCGGCTCCCAGCAAGGCTGCGATGACGACGTCAAAACCTGTGCGGATTTGGCCGTCAGCCTGGAGCACGATACGAGATCGTAAATTGTTTAAAACTAACACTTGGTGAGTCTCAGCAATGCCGAGTTCCCAAGGAAGACCGGCGTGTTTAATACCGGTCCAAGAACTGGCGCCGGTGCCGCCGTCGTGACCGGAAACGACAATGTGCTCGGCTTTGCCTTTGGCGACACCGGAAGCGACAACGCCGACGCCGACTTCCGACACGAGTTTCACAGAAATGCGAGCGCGGGGATTGGCACATTTCAAGTCGTAAATCAACTCGGCCAAGTCTTCGATTGAGTAGATGTCGTGGTGTGGGGGAGGAGAGATTAGGCCCACCCCAGCGACGGAGTGACGGGTCTTTGCGATATCAGCAGACACTTTGTAACTAAAAATTAAAAAAATAAATCCCTGATCGAATTATAAAAAATAAGTTATTTACCCGGGAAGTTCACCGCCTTCTCCAGGCTTAGCCCCTTGAGCCATTTTGATTTGTAGATCATCAGCGTGGGCTAGGTACGATGAGGTGACCCCAAACCGGCCTGAAGCCACCTGTTTTATCGACGATCGTTTCTGTGGATCAAGATATCGCTCAGGGTCTTCACCACCCTCTCCTGTGTTACTCTTCCCACCCACTTTATTCATCGCAATTGCTAGAGTTTGGTGGGCTTCCAAACTAATTGAACCAAAACTCATTGCACCTGTTGCAAATCTTTTGACAATCTCTGATGCAGGCTCGATTTCATCTAGTGGTAGAGGCTGGTCCAAAGTTCTCAATTCGAAACGGCCTCTCAACATGCAGTTTCGCACGGATTCCATTGTAGATTCTTTGAATTTTTCGTACGCTGTTTTGTTGTTATTAATTGCAGATTCCTGTAGTAGGAAAATTAAATTGGTGGAGAATTGCACAAATGGTTTTATCGTACTTGTAAGGCAGCGATGCTTGCAGGTTCATTGAGATGTTTCTCACCACCTGCTCTCCAGTGGAAATTACCGGTGTCGCGGAGTATGAGAGAATCAGCGGCTACGGAGAAGGTGTTTCGGTGACGGTCGAAGGTTTCTAGGGCAAGGGTTTCTAGCGTTACACCGCCAAGACGCGAAGGAGTTCCTGTTGATCAATTTTAATAAAATTAAATAAGAAAATTTTGGAAAATCATTACCTTTGAAGCACTTGTCAATAACATCCTCGGCTAATCCTACAGCTTCGAATATTTGTGCCCCCTTGTACGACTGCAAGGTCGAAATCCCCATCTTGGCCATAACTTTATTAATTCCAGTCTGCATAGCTTGTGCGTAATTCTGGTAAATAGCCTCATCAGTAAGAGAAGTATCAAGAACTCCTTGATCCCTCAAACTCGACGCCAATTCCAACGCCAAATAGGGGCAAATCGCATCAGCCCCATACCCCAAAAGCACACAAATATGGTGGACCTCTCTAGCCTCGCCACTCTCCACAACGAGGGCAACCTTCATACGGGCCCGCATTTCAATCAAATGGTGATGAACAGCCCCCAACGCTAAGAGACTACTAATCGGAACTCGCTCTTTTCCCGCTTTTCTATCTGACAAAACAATGATTTGGTTCGATTTGCTCGCCTCGTAAGCCTCATCACAAACATCTTGTAGTTTTTTCAAAAATCCGGGGATTCCAGTCTCGGCCGGGAAAGTGATATCGATAACGTGCGCACTCCAATTCCGGTGAGAAGTCATTTTGAGGACTTCCAAGTCGGAGATTGAAATAACCGGTTGTTTGAGCCACAATCGGTGGACTTGTTGAGGATCAGGTTTGAGGATGTTTGCTTCGGGTCCGATGGGGCATTGCAGTGACATCACGACTTTCTCGCGGAAGGGGTCGATGGGCGGGTTGGTGACTTGGGCAAAGAGTTGTTTGAAATAATCGTAGAGGATGGGGGCGAAAGAGGAGAGGCAAGCGAGAGGAATGTCGTTGCCCATACTGCCTAAAGCCTCTTTTCTGTAACAATTCAAGGTTTTTAACTCGCAAAATAGTTTCAAGTGGACTCACTTGTTGTTAATCATGGGTAGGAGCAGCATATGGATGGTTTCGGTGGAGTATCCATAAAGCGATAGTCTTTTGTCGCCAAGTCCGCTGGGTTCGTAGGTTGGCTTAGCGGGACGATTGGCCTCCAAGTGGGCTTTGCGCAACTCCTCCATTGTGATCTAAAGTAAAATATTAATTATTTTTCATAAAGAAAAAGATTTATAAAGTAAGTGTGAGCACAAAGTGCCAGACTACTGTAGTTTTGTTGTTAGTCACAAAAAACAAAGAAAAAGTTTCAAGCTTTAAAAGAAAATAGAAAGAGCACCAATAACCACTCCACTCACCATCTGCAGATCGCCAACATGCAAAATAAATTATTATTAATAGTTTCTTGAAAGTTATTTTTTATGTTACATTGCAAAACGTCGTCTAAAAATATATTGTTTTCTGACTAAACTGCAAAAAATTGTGAATCAAATTAATTCGGAAACGTTTATTATTTCACTTTAACCAGACAAATATTTGTAGGCGACTCTTATATTGTTTTTTTCTTTATCAATTACCTTCTCCTTGAGCCACTCTGAGTGCGGCCTTGACCGCGCAATATGCTGTTTGAGTTCCACATCCTCGATCACTTTCTTCGCTTGAGTGTCAACTAGCAACATCCTTCCAGGCTTAAGACGACTTTTCAGAATGACTTGAGCCGGATCCACATCGTAAACCCCAACCTAAACCGACAATAATTACCGCGAAATTAGCTCGTTAACGACTCCATACCTCGCTCGCCATAATCATTATATTATCTTTGGTGATGTAAAACCTCGAAGGTCTCAGACCGTTTCTATCGAGGATGGCCCCAATAAATCGACCATCTGTGAACGAAATCAACGCTGGGCCGTCCCATGGCTCCATAATGCACGAGGCCCAATGGTAATAGTCGCGTTTTTCCTCCGACATGGTTGGGTCGTTGTGCCAGGCTTCGGGGACCATGATCATGACTGCTTCTGGAAGTTTCCGGTTACCGGCATGCACCAGGAATTCTAAGACGCAATCGGCGGAGCCACTGTCGGAGAGGTTGGGTTCCACGACAGGGTAGAGTTTTTTGATGCTTTCACCAAAGTCCTCGTTGGACATTACGCCTTCACGGGCTTTCATCAAGTTGACGTTGCCACGCAGAGTGTTGATTTCGCCGTTGTGGGCCAACATCCTAGGCAAAATTATTAAAAAATAATTACAAGAAATTAGACTTACCTAAGTGGGTGGGCGCGTTCCCAGCTGGGGAAAGTGTTGGTGGAAAATCTGGTGTGCACCAGGGCCAAGTAGGTGTCAAAGAGAGGGTCGGCAAGGTCCGGGAAGTACATCCAGAGTTGGTCGGAAGTCAGCTGTCCCTTGTAAACTACAATCCTTTGACTGAAGGAACAAATGTAGAACCTTTTGCCTTGGGAAGAAATGGTATGGCTGGCACGTTTACGCAGAATGAAGAAACGGCGGTCTAGTTCCTCATCGGGAACTTCGCCCTTAACACTCACAAAAACTTGTCTCATGAAAGGTTCAGTATTTTTGGCCACAGTGCCTATGGAGGAATTGTCGGTTGGTACGGTACGCCACGCCAACACGGACATCCCCAATTCCTCTGCCAGAGCTTCGAACTTTGCTTCGGATTCTTGGTGGTGAAGTTTGTCCAAGAAGAAAATTCCGGTGGCGTATTTGCCAAACGGGGGCAAGTCGACGTTTTGCTCATCTCTAGGAAAGACCACGTAAAGATTCAAATATTTGTTTACTATCACTTAACCAAATTAAAGCAAAGATCAAAACAAATATTTTCAAGTTTAATGCTGGAGGAAATTAAGTAGTCGTGATTAGATGCATGAATAACATAAGTGGACTTTGGACTTCAAGCCAGACGATTTGGAGTAAATAACGTATTAATAATAATAATGAGTTGTCGCATTTGATTAGAATGTGAAAAAATACAGAGAATAAAGACTGTATTCACATTTTTTGTATTTAAACAAAATTAAAAATAGACACAGTGCACATTACACGAAATGGTTATTAATAAATTATGGGTTTTGTTTCATTTATGCTTGAACTTTAAATGGAGATAATTATTTAGGAGTAATTTTGTTGTTCTAAAATCACGTCTAAATACTCACATGATGGTTTTTATAGGTAGGTAGTTAATATGATAATAATAAGCTATGCAACAGGTAATCCATTAGTATATTTATAAAATTGGTACAATTATTTTTGTGAGTTGTATTATAGTTATTTATTCGACGAGTTTGAGTGTAAATCGGAAGCTTTATCTCACGAGAGGATTATTAAGGTTGAACTATACTGAATAAAAAAATAAATCGTAATTCAAAAATTCAGAAAAAAATATCATAACTTTTTGATGGGCTTAGCAGCAATATATTGATTTGAAATTTTTTGTCCGTGTCGTACGGAAAAATTTTTTGATTTATTTTTGGCGTATTGTAGATTACCTACTTATGTTACAGTATTTTTTCATGCAATTTGGATAATATGTACCTTTTTTCATAAAAAAATAAAAACTATTGAATTTTGCAATTCGTTACAATTATTCAAAATGAGATAAAACTCTGTGTTACTGTGTGTGTGAGGTGCTGATTCAATTCAGGAACAACATCCAATTGTAAAAATACTAATTTGTTTACTATTTTTCTTAAAAATTCAATTTTTTCGCTTGAAGACTTGTTTGAACGGCTTTCTGTTGAGTATGTACACAAGTGACAAATTCTTCCGGTGGTACATTTTAGAACTGGCTAGAAACTACCATCTACGGAACGGTAGAGTAAATATTTTTGAAAACTATAATTTTGTAATTTTTTGTAAAAAGACTAAAAATTGCAAAAATCTCAAATAAAAGGAATAATAATTTTTAATAAATTATGTACCAACTATATTTTTCGTTTGTTCCAATTCATTATATTAATGATTCACCCCTTTCAGGGGATGTAGCTCCCATAATATTTTTTGCTTTCCTTATCCTATATCGAGAACGATAAAAGTTAGAAACTTGAAAGTTGGTATGTAAGTTACTTGTAGGCAGGGGACGCAGCACGAAATAATTGGTAAAAATCGATCGCACCGTTTGGTCGCAAAGACCAAGAATCGGCCGTAAAGCTGCCGCAAAATTATACGGTTGAATTCATGGGGATAAAAATTATTTAGAATCATGAAATATACCTTATTAAACAGTAAAATGTGATAAAATAAAAATAATAATGGGTGCCAAACTAAAAAAAAATGCACCCTAGACTCGAACCTGCGACAACTATCATCTGTTTCGCGTGTAATCCGGCAGGTGGCATTCACGCAAACGTTAGGTTTGCTACTCGGACTTCCAAAACTAAATTATTGTCGTAAGGATGTTTTTCAGGTAAGTGGAATAAGGAAAGTCGTGTGATGTTCACACCAGATTTTTTGATACATGTTTATACTTAAAAGTTAATATTCTAAATTAAATGTGTAACAATAAAAACGGAACACGCTGTATGCTCGCTGAATAGTATACTATTTGCAAATGAGTCAATAAAAAACCTCATTTTGAATATTTCTAACCGATACATAAGTTTTGATGATAAGGATATTTACCTAAGCTTGACGGAATAGAAGTCATGTGGAATGGCGGTGAGGACGCCGGCGCCGTCTCCAGTGTCATTATCGCAGGCACAGGCGCCACGATGGTTCATCGAAATTGCAAGACGCTGGGCATCGCGAACAATCTTATGAGAACGACGACCGTCTATAGCAACAATAAATCCGACTCCACAAGCTTCCTTCTCAAACTGAGGGTCGTACAAGCCCTGTTTCGGCGGACCTTGCCACGCTTCAGCCATTTAACCACTGCAACAAATGATTTTTTTTTAATTATTTATTTATCGCCGATTTAATCTTTATGGCTTAATAAACTTTACAGCTGTTGTAAATCAAAAAGGTGATAGCGCAACGTGTGCATAATAGAAACGAGGCGCATTCCTTGCTGGCATACTGACAAACGATAAAATTAGCTAAATTCTAATTAATACTGAAACTCAGTGCTAAACACCGAAAGTTGAGTTTTTCTATTTTTATATTGTTTTGAAATTTTTTCCGCAAAAATACTTAACACCTGTTTTGCAATTATTAACAAAATAACAACTCAAAGGTCAGAGGTGAAAAGCTACCAAAACAAAATACTGTTTGAGGAACTGATTATGAGTTGATGGATTGTCCGAATTTTAAATTATTTATTTATTTAGCAGGAATTAGTAAGTTAGTAACTGTAGACTTTCAAAAAACCATCTGGATTCAATATTTTACAATTCTGGATTGGGTTCAAAATTTTTCTTTTTATTATTGCGAAAAAATAGAACGGGGTGCTTCACCTTTGACAAAATTAAATGCAGTTGTTCAAGTTAAGTTATTTTTATATCTTGGTTTTACATTTTAAAATTATGGCTTTAACAAAAACGTGGAACTATAATTTGTATATCTATTTTTATCTACCTCTAATTAAATTAGTAGCCATAGAAATGGTGCTAATTTTGAAAACATTCAAAAATTAATAATTAATCGGTTCTAGTTTTGTTCTCTTATATTTTTAGCGAAATTAGATCGTGTTTGTTTCTGTCACACTTTTCGAGAGGGGTTGTGAAAAATGTGTTAACATGTTTTGATCACTTATCTTCCTATAACATTACTTGATTTCGTGATTACTTGAACTTGAATTTACCGGTGCATTAACAAGATAAACCTGTCGACCAAATTAATTGAATTTTATGACTCATTTCTTCTACGTGATAAGTCTAGCAATAGAATTTAATTAAATAGGGATTGAGTCGATTGTGGTTTATGACCGACGTCTCCGCTTTATTTATTGAGTTTCAGTAATTCGCTAGGAACTTTGATCTAAAAATATTTTTATTTCGTAAGAGCAAAAGTTCAACGCACGTTCGCGAATTACAAAATTTGCATGAACCTTGGACGAGATTTGATTGATTGGAGGGAGTTTTCTGCAAAAATTTGGTTTCACATTCAATCTTGATTGATTTGATTGCAATCGTATTGTTTGACTCAAGTGGAATTTAGAAAATATTCCATTGTGTCTACAAACTTGTTTACAATTTTATCCCACAAATAAATTAATGATTTATTTTGAAAACTAATTGGCGGCGGTCCAAAACCTCAAATATTTATTAAAAAATTGAAAAAACCCGTTATTTTCCTGTACTTGACACAAAATACTTACATTTACGTGCAGTAATTCAAAAAGATAGATAACCTTAACCTTCAGCTATTTGCAATAAAGTTTACACTTTGGCTCAAGTCCACTAGGCAATGAGTAGTAACTTAAACCACTCTTCATTTGTATTTAATTATTATTTAAATCACAACTAGTGTAACAATCAAATAAGACTTCACAACGTGTAACTTTTATTTATACTAAGCAATATCGCTTAGTGTTTCGACTTTACTCCCCTCCAATTTATTTTTGAGATAAGTGTTACATATTTAGAAATCAAAACTTATCCACAGTGAGAATTATGTCAATGCTGCTGCCACATTATGCAATCGTCTCCGCCCTACTGAAGTCTCGAACTCGTCTGTTTAATCGAATAATAAATCAATTGAATGTGTTAGTTGTTCTTCATCTATTGCCTCATACGCCCTTGAAACGGCATTGCTGCTTCTTGATTTAGTAGAACTGGAAGAGATTCTATTCGTTTTTCTCAAATATTACAAGAATAAATTAGTTTCATTACTCCCAATTTGCAATGATAAAGTTGGTGTAATTATTTGTGCTCTAACAATTTTGTTGAAAAAGAAAGATAGATTAATAATAATAATCCTTCAAAAATTTTTTTTTGACAACAGTAAAATTTTCTTAGAGAAAAGCTGATCTATATCGTATTTCAAAAAATAAAAGAGTAGAAAATTTGAATTTATGCAATTATACCTCATACTGTTTAAAGTTTTATTGAATGATTTCATCCACTTTTTTTATTTTAATGCAAAAATGATGTTTTAAGGTTCTAAAATATTACTGAGAGAGTGATCCAAGTAACACTTACGCGGTAAAACCCTAAAAACATATCAAACTAAACAAGGTACAGGAAAAGCCTTACCTATGTGGATTTTATATTATATTCTTACATATTTTAAATATTCATCATAATGTTCGTGAAAATGCTAGTCTAGAATAATAATAATAAATTAATGTACTAGCTTTCTTTGTAAATTTTGTATGTATAAAAATAGTTTTTTGTATTATTTAGTTTTCAAATTCTAATTAACTTCTTTATTTCGCATAATTTAATTTACCTAAATGATTTTTATAAAACTACATAATAGTTGTAGGTCGTTCATCTGTAATCACACGAGTTACTGTAATTTGCTCTAGCTCACATTTGATAAGTACAGGGTGTGTCAGAACTTGCGCCCCAGGAAAAAATTTCAAGTAAGATAAGATACCGGGAACATGGAAAAAATGTTTGAAAAATTCTATCTGTCATAAAATTTTGCCATTTATTTTTGACACAAATAACTTTAAATTGAGTTACAATTTAGGATCTTAAGATTCCCTCTTCTAATAGCCTGTAGCAAAAAAACTTTGAAATTATTTTTCTAACAGAAATAAATAGAGTCAAAACGCAAAATTTGAACTCTCATAACTTCGAAATTTTTATAGATAGAATTTTTTAACAATTTTTCCATGTTCCTGGCATCTCACTTTACATTGCTTTTTTCTCTGAGGCGCGAGTTCTGGCGCATCCTGTATACAAAATTTTATCTATGTACGATTGCCGAGAACTGAAAATATGCAATTTTATAATTTAGGTATTATCCAAAATCAAGAATAAACAAAATTTTTGATTATTGTGGTTACCACACAATTTTTTAATTTATAATAAACAATAAAATGAGTGGTTTTATGATTACAGGGGTTTAATGGTGTTTAATTAATAAATTGAATAAATAAAACATCTATTCCATAATTTTATTGGATAATTGAATGTTGCTGCAGAAGTGCGTCTTATTATTGTTACTAATGTGTCAACCAGGTAACTAATTAATTGCCATATTTTAGTACGACATATAATTACGTTGTAAATTAATTTTTAGTAATATTTATTGACGTCAAGCCATCGTGAGTGGACAAAACACTATCAAAGACATGATTCTTCTGAATGATGATGGAAAATTTCGATTATCACAAAAATTCGTCCTTTAAATACGCCTTATGATTAACGTTAATCTTAAAACAATAACATTTATAACATCCGACAATAATACACCACGTTGTGAAAGAGTGTGTGATATTACACTATTATCTCTGTCCAATTTCCTTGTGATAAGAATCGTCACAGTTGACAACAAATTACTTAAACAAATCTGCAGGGGGTCAGATTAGCTAATAAACACTTCGTATCACACAACAATTTACTGATCACTCTTAAGGTTAACTCTGATTAAAGCAGCTGTGACGTTATGTTTGTTTGGATGCTCCTCAGTGATAAATCAGTGCCAAAACCGGGACCATTTTTAGAACAATTTCATCACGAAAAAACCAGTTTAAATAAAATTGCAAAATCCAGGTGTACAAACACTCAGGAAGTGGAGCAATGTAAAGATCTGACTTAGGGTGGAACCCCGTAATCCTTGAACTTGCTACCTTTTCAAGTTCACGTGACCAGTTTATTTAAAAAATAAGTTTCACGTGGTTAATGAACGCACTGGCAACTAAAACTGTTGACATTTTGCTTGAAATATTTTCATTATAAAAGCTGCGATCGAATTTTGGCAAAGTGACAGAAAAATTGGTTTATACAAATGTTGATGGGTCGAAGGTTTAAATTTAGTGGAGACGGGATGAAAATAGGGCTTTTACAGCTGTCTGGAATAATCCCGATCACAAATGGGGCACAAAAATTAGTGTAAAAATAGACAGACTTAAATTTTGAGTTGGACTCGTTTCTGGTGTTTGTTGTTCAAGTCACAACAAGTAATTAATATTTGTAACTTGACTGTGTAGTTGTGGTGGAATTAAAATTATGTAACGGAAACTTGGAATGATTATGATTAGGTTTATCTGTGGTTTGTTTACTATTTATTGTACTGCCAAATTTTTTGAATTTATTTTAATTTCATGTAATAATTAACAATAATGCATTTTCTGTGGTACGAAGGAACAAATATTCCATATGAGTCAATAGTTGTGGTGGAATAATAAATATTTTATCGCTGGGTCAGATAAGAATTTATTTTTCTTAATTAAAATTGCTATAAAGGGGATCAACAATAGTGCTATTAACATTTTTGCAAAAAATTCCTCATTCGTTTTTAATCACTTTAATTGTTTTCCTTTTTCCTAAGTCGGCAGAATATTTGTTATCAGCACTTTTAATAATAAACACTTAATGACAAAATTTGTTTTCAGAATCTTGCCTAACTTTGTCTAGACTTGACAGAATCATATTTAGATATTGGAAATATTTCAACAATTCTGGCTAGTATCAGACTGACAAAAAAGTGAGAAAACACACTTTTTTACGTTTAAAACTTCGTAAAAATAAGTGTTATCTTTAGAAAATTCCACTTTCATTGGAAATTACAACAATATCTTTTCGTAGCAAGATTCTTTCATACAGTACGTATAACCATTTACAAAGTATCGGTTTTATTTCATTTAATTTTTTATTGACTAAATAAATAATGCATTACAATGATCAAAAAACCCTCTTTTTTTCCAGTAAAAATGAGGGTTGTTATAATCTAATCAAATCAAATATTATAATTTTTTTTTCAAAATTCAAATTTAATGTGAAAACCCGGAAAATACTGTTAAATAGCGTGTAGAACTACAGTTAAATAAAGAGAGTGAATTTTTTATGTAAAAAAATATGTTTCCAAATGTTTTAAAATTTGTAATATCTACTGGTGCTTGGGTACGCCTTGCACTATATCTAAAATGCAATATTTCATTAAAAATGAAAAAATAGGTTGACGTTAGAAAAATTTATGTCCAACTTGAGTGATTAACGATTATTGATGGTAAACTGTGCCGCATGCAAACAAAAAATAACGTAAACATTGAGTATTTTTATAATTAAACTGCAGTTATAATACTGATGCTAAATACTTAACATATCAGTAATTTAAAACGAAAAAAATGTTTGTTTTATCGTTTATCAAATAGGTACACACAATTTGCAATAATCAGCACTTTACTGTTTGCTATTTCTCAATATTGCTAATGCGATTCGCATAAAGAAAATGATCCCTCAGCCGCTTTTATTGATTTTCCGAAGCTTGCGCAACTTTTCCAGCTAAACTAAAATTATCGCCGAAACTGAGATAATAATAGAAAAAAACATACATCACCTGTCAGAACTCTTCAGTTTTAGCCTTAACACGATTTACCAAAATAAAGCTTTCGGTATTTAATTTAATAAGAAGAAAGTCGGTCTCACCTAGACAAGTTGTGGTTGTCCTTATATCTCTTTTTTGCTGAACTTTTTCCCTATTTGCGTTAATGTCTATCAGGGTGTAGTGATACCGGAGATAATTTCCAAAATTGGCAAGTCAAGAGGAGTACAATTTGTGAGTTTTTGGGGGTCGTATTAAAAACAGCACAGGATAAACAACGTTCAACACTGGTGTTTCGCCTTAGCATCCAACACGAAGTAAAGCAGGGACGACGCACGAACCACACCGCATTCGCATCTAAAGTTGCCGGCTGATGTTGGCGCATGCTTGCGTCGAATTGTTTAATTTTGAGATACGTAGTGGAATGAATTATTCATTATGTAAAATGCAACTTGTGGCACAATGTTTGAAGTTGGACCTGTTTAAAAATTTATTTTGGAATGACGAAAGTCCTGTCGCTGGCACACAAAGGGAAATTTCAAAAAGGGGATTATGACTAATTGTTATTTATGACGGCTTAGTGAATGGGTGAAGAATAGCAGGAGCAACAGGCAGGAAAATCGAATTTTTTATTTGAATTTGAATTGGGAAATGTGACAGAAGAAATGTTTGGGTATTGTGTAGCCAAAAAATGGTAAATTGTTACTAGACGGCAATAAATTATGGAATTATTTCTTTATGGATTTTTGAAATGAAAAGAAAAAAATGTTGTGCAACTAGTTTTATTAATAAGTTTAAAGAAAGAACCTATTTATTATTCAATGGCACGGTTGTTTTTCTTAGTACTGTGTTGAATACTTGCAATTTACTCTCATTTTGTTTTTGAAGCAAAAATATGAATAAAAACGTTTCTAATTTAGTAATTTATTAAACTAATTTAACGCAATAAATTGTTTTGGTTTTCAATTCAAAATATTACTAATCTTATACTACTATGTACACTATAATTATAGGTTTGTTCAGAACAAAACGACTTTTAGGTGTCAAATCTACCGATTTCGTAATTACTAAAATTTCGAAGATTTTTACTTGTTTATATAAGGTATATAAAAAAGTTAAAATCTTAAGGATTTTGCTCAGTTTTCAAACTATATTTAAATAGTTAAAAAATAAAAGCATTTTGACCTATTTTTTGAGTTTATACTATGTGTACCTGTTCAGAACAAATCAAAATTTCAAGCATTTCGATCTGTTTGTATTAAAAAATTAACTAACTAAATGGAGAACAGACAGTTGACTAAATACCTAAGTGCCCTAGAAAAGGATTAGTACTCTGCAACGCAAAGTTATTTCATCATTATTATCCAATAAATTAATAAGTTCATTTCTTTTTGGTTTAGGGAGTTAGAATGGAACTATTTAATAATGAAATAACAATCTCAAAAATAAAAAAAAAAACAGATGTCAATGTGAAAAACCAACAGAAAAAATATAAAAGACATGACGAATTTTTGGACTTCGCTCATAAAGCTGTACTGAATTCTAGTTCACACATTTTTCATTTCTTAATGATTTAATATATTTTTGATGTATCTACAGTATTTTCGACTTTCCAATATTAAGATGATACAGTTATTTTTGTAACAGTTCAAGTTCTTCTTCTTCCTCAAGATTAAATTATTCAAACTTTGTCATTGTTGTTCGAAAATTTTTAATTAGTTTCAAAAGTATATTATTGTCAGGGGGTCACGGGTGTGACTGGTGGATAGGGGTAATAAATATTACAATATAACAACGAAGGTGTTTTCATCATTTTTATTTTATTATTTTAGAACTGGTGTTATGCAACCAAAATTACACGCAAGTGTTATCGTACTTAATTATAAATAAAAAATATTTTATTGAAAAAGTCTTAATTGCACGAAACGTTTGAAACATATATTATTTTTGAGGCCACATATTATGTGAAAATTTCTGATTTATAAATTGCAAAATGGAAACAAGTAATAAACGACGAGGGGGCTGTCTCATTGCGCATGCAATACGCATTCATAGGTTAATTTAATGTAAATATTTAATGAACATAACAAATTCTTTATTATTAGTGTGCTAACGTATCCTCTTTTAGTTTATCTTCATTCTTGTGCTTTCTTCATACATTTTTTTGAGTGAAAATTTTCATTGAGAAGTTTGAAAAATGGGGTCATGCAATTAAGGTCAACTTTCACTAGCCGAGTGAGAACATATGAACGAAAACTTGTAATAGGAAAGTTGGTTCAGATTGTATATGTTGAAGGCAGTGCCTAAACTCCCATCACATATTTTTCATTCTCAACATGTCTTTATCAAAGTTATGTGCAACTCTAATGAGGCAAAGAAACCTTTCTGTGGTTGTAACACAAGTGAAGTATTTCCATACGAATAATTTTTTGTGCACTAAGTTAGCACAGGAAAAGAAACCTGACTGGAACAGAGCAGTAAGTGAAGCGGAGAAAATCGTGGGATATCCTACTTCATTCCTAAGTCTGAGATGGTTATTAAGCGATGAAATTGCAAACGTTGCTTTACATTTAAGAAAACTGGTCGGGTCGAACCACCCTCTCCTCAAAACCGCCAAGTGAGTATAGAAATAACAGATCTTTGTGTTTATTCCCAATCCATCAAATAAGATGAATCGCTTGTCAATATTTGCAGGAATTTGCTCTACAATGGCAAAAACAACATGCAAGCGTGGGGCCTGATCGTCCTCCTTGTTTCCAAAGCGGCAGGTCACACCTCCGACATCCCCGACCTTGAGCAAGACAAGGCCGCCGGGGTCCTCCACAGTCAAAGAGCCTTAGCTGAAGTCACTGAAATGATCCGCACAAGTCATCTAGTCCACAAAGGCCTCGTCAACCTCCAACCCTCGGCGGCCACTGACGCCTCGGGCGACATGATGTTTGGCAACAAAATCGCTCTTTTGAGCGGCGATTATTTACTGAGTAATAGTTGCACAGAATTGGCGAATTTGCGAAACCAGGATTTAGTTGAATTGATGAGTTCTGCGGTCCGGGATTTAGCCGAGGCTGAATTCGTAGGGCCTAGAGATAAGCAGAACAATCCTTTACCGGCGAGGCCGCGCTCGGATATCGTCGAGTATAAGCAGTTTACTGATAAGACTTTGGAGCCTTTGGTTGTGAGCGAAGCTCTGGGGAACGCGAGGGCCGAGTGGACTCTAAGACATGTCTTGAATGCAGGTACTTACCAATTATTAATAAATAGCAATTTTAATGAAAAAAAGTTGATTTCTAGGCAGTTTATTGGGTAAATCCTGCCAAGGCACTCTGAAACTAGCAGGTCATCCTCTTGAGCTTCAAGAACAGGGCTATTTATTTGGAAAACACTTAGCCTTAGCTTGGCAAGCTTGTCTAGACCGTGAACCTTTTCTTCCTGGGACTTCTGGACCCTTTAGTTTAGTCTGTGCCCCTGTAATGTTTACACTACAACATGATCCTTCTCTTTATGAAGAGATCGAAAAGGGGCAAGAAACTGTGGATGATGTCGACTATGAGGCTGTTAGAAAGGCAGTTCTAGCTGGGCCTGGACTCGACTTGACCAAAAAATTACAAAAGGAACATTCCACTGCTGCTTTGGAGGTTTTAAACCAGTTACCAGCGTCAGATGCAAGAACGGCTTTGGCTAATATTATTGCTGCAATGCAGGATTTGTAAGAAAATATTTTATTTATAAAGATATTCGCGCATTTGTTATTATATAGCTCTCTTTGAAAGTATTTTTAAGAGCCCACACTCTTTATTTTTTATTACTTTATTCAGTTTTGATCACAAAATACACTTGCGGATAGGTTAATATGTTGATAAATTTAACAGGGACCAGTTGTTTGGCAAACTAATGATCTGTGATACAATATACCATTTTGATATGATGTAACAATAGAAGAAAAGAAATCTTTGTTTCAAAAACACGCTACTGATTTTACTTGTTAATTAAGAATCATTAGTGATTTTTTTGGACCTGAGATGTGATTTTTTGGATTTATATAAGTATTGGTGAAGGTTTTGTACAATTTTGCAGAAAATATATTTTATTTACAAAAAAAAATGTTTTTAAATTTGACAAATGTTGCATACACAATAATATGTTCAAATATCCCTAGATCATATAGAGGCCTTAAAAATGGCGCTTGTTTCGAACTTTGATCTCTTTTTCAATTTATAAACATTTAGAACAGCTGTCATGTAATCAGTTTTACGCAAAAACACTAACAAATGGATTAGGTAATTGTCTCTTTGTGATATAGTAGGTGAATAAATGTTTACCAGTCAATTTGCAGAAGGGTCCTAAACGACGTCAATCCTACTTCACCAGTGGTTGTGTAAATAATACTGGATAAGTGTCTTAGTTTAGAAATGGAAACTATTACTAACCTTGATTTATTATGTAACTAGTTGTTGACCTTAAAGATACACTAGTTTTTCCGCATCTTGCGAAATTGCCGAATCTCACAAAAAGTTAGGTTAAAAGATGAGCAACTTGAACAAAACCTTACAGTTTTATTTAAAGAATGCTAGTCGAAGAGGGATTTTAAGCAGGAATTTGTCATTCCTAACTCGCAAAGCTGACGAAAATTCTAAACGGAATAGTGTAGTTAAAGAAGCAGAAAAAGTTGTTGGTTATCCAACATCATTTTTGAGTCTAAGATGGATTTTAAATGACGAAATTGCAAATGTTGCTACTCATATAAGGAGATTAATTGGAACAAATCACCCCCTTCTTAAGACAGCAAAGTGAGTGGCAAATTTTTGTTTCAGAAGTTGAATTAAATTGTTATTTTTAGAAGTTTAATCCTGAGGAATGAACAACCGACCTGGGGGCTTATTGTACTTCTGATATCAAAACTGGCGGGCCTAAACTCAAATTTTTCCGAACTTGAGTGTGATAGAACTGCGGGTAAAATATTTAACTTTTTATGAACAATTTTTTCTTATATTTGTTTTTTAGATATTTTACATAGTCAGAGAATAATTGCGGAAGTAACAGAAATGATAAAAACTAGCCACTTGATTCACAAAGGCCTTATTAACCTTGATAGTGATGATACAAATTTTTCTGATTTAAATTTTGGCAACAAATTAGCTTTATTGTCTGGAGATTATTTACTCAGTAGTAGTTTCAATGAAGTCGCAAAATTGAAAAACTTTCACGTACAAGAGACAATTTCGTCCACCTTAAGAGATTTAGCAGAATCAGAATTCATTGGTTTGAGAAATAAACACAATGAACCAATTCCCTCCAAACCACTTCCAGTACAAAAAGAAATAACAATTCCACTTGAATTTGGAGTCAAACCTTTTAAATTAGAACACGTTTTGGGCAATATGAAAGCTGAATGGACCCTCAGGAATGTTTTAGGAGGGGGCAGCTTATTAGGAAAGTGTTGTCAATGTGCTCTAATTTTGGCTAATCATGAGCCTGAAGTCCAAGAGTTGGGGTACAGTTTCGGGAGGAATTTAGCCTTAGCCTGGCAGGCTTCTTTAGAAAAGGACCTTTTCAGAGAAGACAAATTTAGTTTGGTTTCGGCACCTGTTATGTTTCACCTCGAGGATGACCCAAGTTTTTATAAAGAAATTGAGAAGGGGCTGTCAACTGATGACGAGGTTAGTTATGATCTTGTAAGGAAAACAGTGATGGGCGGGCCTGGTTTGGCCAAAACATCCCAACTCCAGAAAGAGTTCTCAGAGGAAGCTTTAAATACTCTAGACAAGTTCCCCAATAGTGAATCAAAGGCTGCTCTAGTCAATATTGTTAACTCATTGTAAACTACTAGTTGAAATAAAGTTGTTTATTTAATTACAAAGTAACTTCACCACAGTCTTCAACAACTCCTTCCATTTCCTCCTCACTCTCTTGCATTTCTTCATCAGCAGCTTCCTTTTGTTTCCTTTCTTTAAGACCAGCAGCGGGTGATTTAATAAGTGACAAATCTCTCTGTACTTCTTTCACGTCTCTTTCTTGTTCAAGTTCTCTTCCTTTCCTCAACCTCTGCATTATGTAAGTTCCCTGTCTCTTCTGTTTAATCTGTTCGACCTTTTTCATCGCATCTATAGCCTTAGTCCATGTCTGTCGGTCATATTTCAGTGGGGTATGCCTCCTCTTTTCAAACTCAAAGGACGGATCAATGGCCAATTCTTTACCCACTGTCTTTCTGTATGCTTTCGTCCATTTGACTTTACGTGGATTCTTCTTCTTTTTGAATGCTGCGTGGCATTTGGATCGACAGAATTTGAAAATCTGAAAACTAACCTCAAAATTGGATGTTTTTTCATTGATTTTTACGTTACCTTGCAATCGTTCCGGACAAATTGGATGCCGTGGCCTGGGTATATGCGAGAAGAACAAAAATAGCACGATTCAATACGCATTTTGTTTCAATTGTATGATTTATTCGATTTTTTTGAATTGATTCATCACGTGGAATGAAGTTTTGTATCTGACAACTGCAAAAAAGATAAATGACAGTTTAGCACATGCTGCCCTCTGCAATTTAAATCAAAGAGCGGTATTTTTAAAATCTAACGCAATTAAAAACTAACAATTTTCTTTTTAATAGTTGAATAAATTTGGCACTTACATTTTTTGTTTTTGTTATTTTTTATTATTTAAAGCAAATAGTAATAATATTCTCTAGTTCTTTGTGATTTATGAATTTCATAAGAAACTTGGTTTTTTACGACTTTTTATTTAAGAGTGTATTATAATGTTTTCAGCGATGTTTAATTTTAACAAAAGGAAAGTTTCAGCTTCAGCGACTGTTTTACATGAAGTTAACGAAAACACCACATCTGGTCTGTAGAAAAGTTCAGATAATTTCATACAAGCTGTTGAAAATAAAAGAAGAAAAAAATGTCAAAACAATATATTTTCTTAAAAAAACATACCCAGTTTGGACAATAAATTTTTCGACGATTTTCTATTCTCGACTTATGTAAACCGTATTTGTATTGGGCTGCGACATTGGTTTACTTAAATCAAGTAATATTAGAAAACAGAGGGCTATAAAACGGTTAATTTTGAAAGTACTAGGCGAAAACCTTTCTTAAACAACACTAAAACAGCTATAAAGAATGATAAGTTACCCCGGGAAGTATAAAATTGCCATGTTTTGCAAATAAGTCACAGAGCATTTTCAGCAAAACCACGTAGGTATTACATTATCGTCCGATTTTTATTCGCTTTATAAACGACTTTAGTGTTTTATTGTCCTAATTACCATTTAATCTCTTCTTTGCCTGCCCTTTCTTAAAGCTTTTGATTATTAAATTTAAACTCGGATGGTATTTCCGAAATAATTAATCAAAGAGTGTACAAAAGGTTTAACAAATAGGTCGGTAAGTGTGCCAATTAAGTAGATTGCGTGTGGGTCGCTAAAGGCACGCTTAAAACTGGAAGAGGAGCTTAGATACTTTAACTAACTTATCAAATTTATTGTGTTCCCGATAGTGGCCTGGTTTTAAGTTGAAATATCAGCACCCCTCAGGTCATCGATAGCAAATTTGGGGCTCAAATTAAAATACATAACTGCGCTATTAAATTAGGGGTTGTTATATCCAAATCGAATCAGAAGTAAGTCGATTAATCGCGAATTGCAATAGATTTAAGCATTTACATTTTAAAATTTCTAGGTAGTAAACTAATGTATTAATTTAGATATTCTATTGAGTAAAAAACAAACAGTTAATTTCTAAAATTCATCAAAAACAGTAGTTATGAATGTTTTCTTGGTTAGAGAAATACATATAATTCTTACTTTAATAAGTAATGAATAACACAACTGATAGAATTATGTGCTAAATAAAATGAATAAAAAAAATGCTTTAAATAAATAAAAAAAACAAATACATTTTTTACTTTTTATTTTAATTTTTTAGTTTGTTTATATCAGTAATATAAAAAATAATTTAGTACATAAATGTCTAAATAAATATTTGTAATAATTTTTTTATTTTCTTAAAAACTAGGTAATGAAAAAAGTAACATTCATCTTGACATTGATGTTGGTCTTTGTTTCTGTTTACTAAAAGATACATTTCTCCTCTTGTGTGATTCATCTCTATTTATTTTTCACTCATTTGAAACAAGAAAGGACTACGAGTAAATGTTGAAAAGAAAATATTCAGTATAATGTATGTTGTGAGCAGTGGTGCTGTTTTACTAGTTTATTGTATCTAATTTTAATTTTAATTTAAAAAGCTACAACACTACAAAACACTGTTTGTTACTTATTACCTCAAGACAAAAAGCATAAAGTATAATAAAATTAAAAGAAAGTTTTTAAAGTAGACGTCACAATATACACAGATTTGTTATTAGGTTCTATTTTTATAAGAAATAAATATTTTATTAAATTACAGTAAAAATTGGTACGAATTTTTGCAGTAAAATCACAATAAATAATTCACTCAAAGGATAATAATTGATAGTGTTGATTAAAATCCAAATTATTTAATATTATAAATAAATATTTTTCTTTCCGATAAATTGGTACATCTATTTGAATTTTTTTATGGTGTGAAGTTATTCCCGATAGATTACCCATAATCCATCCTTTCTTTCCAGAGTCCACCAACTTGAACATAGCCACTTCCTTTTCCGACTTAGCCAGGACGAGTAGGAGTACGAAGGGTTTGCGTAAGTGAAAAAGTAGTTTTTTTATTTTTGAAAAATGTTAAATTGTGCATAATTGTGGTGTAGTTGTGTCTTTTTGACTCTTTTGTGTGTGAGTGGTGTGTATAATTTCTCAAAGTGGAGAAAAAGAAAAAGGAAAGGAAGAGCACGTGCTGGATGGCGAAAAGCAGGACCGCAATTTTATCTTCATTTTAGTAATTTCTATTATTTTATAATTGCGTGTCTCTTAATCCAATCAAATCATCATTTTCTGACTAAACAGTAAGTTTTTGAAGAAATCGGAGCTCGAGGAGGACAGGATCAACAGGTCTGGAAAGGAATCTGGATTCAAGGTCAGTGATTTTTTTTAATGGCGGCGAGTTTTCGGAATATGCAGACAATTTTTTCTGCAGTTTTGCATCAACTGTAATTGTGAAGTGTGCAGTGAACTGTTGTTGTAAGAGATGGTTAATTATATTTAATATTTATTAAATATTTTTCAACTGGTAAGTAAAGGAAAATTATGTTTTATTCGGGTAAGTAAATAATTATGGCTTTAGATTTTCTTTTCTTATTTTAGGGATTAAGGTAAGTTTTAATTTTATTTTACATTTCTTTATTCAAGTGAACTATGTGATGGCTATGATGATCCAAGGCAGATTCTTCAATTCTTCCCACACTTACGCTAAAGCGCTGGCAAGAACAATAGAAGAAGAGCCAAATTCTGAGCTGTCTTATTTTTTTTATTATTCTTGTTCTGGTTTTTTTATTTCCGTTTTATTATTTTTTAATTTGGTTAAAATAAATAATTCTCATTGATGGACGCTAGTTTAGTTGACGAAACATGTGCCGGTTGTCAAATCAACGACTTGGTTTATTTATTGGTATGTTGGTGTGTATTGTTATTTTGGTGTTTAAGACCATTTACAAGCTACATTTACAAAAGTAGATTTCGATTGATTATTGTTTTTTTTTTCTTTCAGAAGCTTAATTTATCCAAAGAATTTTTTAGGACTTCTGGTTTAGGTAAAGCCTCAGTAAAAATTTTACTTGTTTGTAATATTTTTTGTTTTTAGTTACAGAATGACTTAACTTAGTTCGTTCGCGTGGCTGCTGGTGAAGAAGAGTGTTTGTGAACATTTTGTGGGTTTGGAAAGAACTGGTAAATTTTGGAAAGTGTTTTTTGTAGTTTTGACTACCACTTTTCTATATTATAGTTATAGGTACATTGTTTAATGACAAAACAGTTTGCGCTCTTGTATTTTTGTGATGGAGCATACTAATTTGTTCTTATTTGCACATGTAAAAATGAGTGGTCGTTCTCAAAAGTGAACATTTTGTTTTTTCTGGTTATTATTACCGCTTAATGTTCACCTTTTTTGTATATTTTTAATTTGAAAACAATGTTTTTTATAGTACGTATTGCTTTGATTTGGTTTGCTATTCTCACATAAACTGAAATAAAAACCATAACTAAATGGCAAAAGTACTTCAGTTTTTCTAGTTTTAGTTACTGCTCTAATATGTATGTTTTATTACTGGTCTTTACATATAAAGAGTATATAAAAAAATTAAAATTCCAAAAAAAAAAAAACAATAAACTTGTATGTGTTAATAGTGGCCATTCTTAAAAAGACTTTTTTCTAGTTATAATTACTGTTTAAGTTTGTTCTGAAATAGTTGTAAGTTATTTTACTTTTTTCACATAAATTGTATTTGACCAAATGGGAAGGTCGTTAAAAGTTAGTATAGTTAAAGTAAATAGTTTGTTTTTTTAGATTTAATTCTATATTTATGCTTATGGACTTCATATTTTGTTTGTAGAAGTAGATTTATGTCGCTTTTCTATTAAAAAAAAAAAAAAAACCTTAATAAAACAAAAAAAATGCATGCTTTAGATTTAGGTGTTTATTCTTGCCATAATTTTTGTATTGTGTTTTAGACAAATAAGAAAAACATTGAAAGTTAGTTAAGATGTACTTATGTTGCTTTTATTTAAAAGATTGTTGTAGAAGTAAAGAATACTCTTGAGAAGTGGTTTACTATTTCGTAAATGATCTAGCCAGTGTCTTCATTGTGTATGACAAATTTAGCTTTCGCCATAAAATAAATCAGGTAATCAACCTACTTTCTTTAGATTAATTTTTAAACGTAAATGGTCTTATTACATCAATGTAACGTTTTTTTCAACACTTAAGTATTTAAATTGGGGTTATCTGGGGTAATAAAAAGACATTTTTTTTACTTTTCTTGAGCTTCAGAAAGTTTGATTGTATTTTTTCTTAATTGGATCTTAATCGAGTGTTTGTGTTGTGACTTGAACTGATGGATTGGACTAGGAACAGGAATAATTCAAGATGGAACAAGCGAAATGTCAAGGGTGTTTTTTCATATATTTTTTTTAAATTATTTCTAATGTTTTATTGTATTAAGTGGATTCTTCGTCGAAGGAAGAGAACAGGTCAACAAAACACGATTTAGGGTGAGTGTTTTTTAAATTTTGTGTGTATTTAAAGAAGTAAGAAATTGAAACGTCAATGAATTATCTAAAAAAACAGTAATTTGTAATTATTGGGCTTTACACCTATTTTATTTTTTTGTAGGTTGAAATGGCTATGATGAGCAAAGGTAATGATTCTTCAGTCTTTTGCCCATTTCTGTTGGTTGGACGTGAAGATGAACTATAATCTGAGCCATTTAGATTTTTTATTACATTTTTTTGTGGTTTTTACCGTGTGTTGTAAAATAAATACATACAAGCAATGTTTTTGGGTTTGGTTGGTACACAATCAATTTACATAATTTAACATTTGTAGAATATCATTTAATTATTCTATTAA